CAAAGGAGAAGGAGGTGGCTCCTGACTATGTTCCAAGCAATGCTTGTTGCCTGATTGATAACATGGTATTTTCACAGAGCAGTTCTGTATGCATGTAACAGCTAAAGAGAATAGAGAAAGAACTGTAGTGTTTTATCACTGCAAAAATGCATGCTTCACCAACATCTTGTGCATTTGGTTGTCTAAGGACAGAGAGTAGAACTGTAGGTAGGAGAATTTAGTGATGATCAAAGAGGATGACCAAAGATGGTAATTAACTTCCCCAAGGGGAGTAAATTTTAAGTATTTACAACTGACAAGAAATGGCTGAGAGAGAGGTGGAGACATTACAGAGCTTTGTAAAACTATGAAGTGTCTGGATAGGAAATTAATGCTTCCAGTCTCTGAAAACCAGAATGGGGAACACTGAAAAAAAAAACTAGCAGGAAGCAGATCCAGAACAAAGTACTCAGTTCTCCAAGGGGATTTGGTGGAGGGTCCCTAGAGAGAAGAGTGTGTGTTGTTTTGGCCTAACAAGGAGAAGAAGAAGGACCTTAACACTGTCCACTCCTGCTGTGGTCACTCTCCCCCGTATATTGATTCTGACACCCTTCTAACCTTTATGTGGTACCAGCTCATGGAATCTCCTCTCTGAATGCCCAGCAGGCTGTTGCTGAAGGGGAGCAGCTGTCATGGCTGTCAGAGAAGAGACTCATGTTGCAGAGCCTGGAATGTCTGCAGCGAGCAGTTGCAAAGCTGGAAGATGATAAGGTGGAGCTCAAGCAACAAAACACTGAACTCAGGAGGACTCTTGAGCAGGTAAATCGAGCTTTTGCTGCTTCTGTAGAGCCTCAGGCTCCTCTGGAACTTGGCACGTTAGCCCAGGCATTGCTTTGGAGACCTCTGCTTGTTTCCTTACCTCTCCCTGTCCCTGCTGTGGGCACACCCTTTTGTTTGTTCCCTCTCTTGGGGCAGCCCATGGCTTTCACAAGGGCACCTTCACTCCACTACCTCCCTCCATGGCCCTGTGTCCCTGCACACACACTGGCCTCTCTTGCACAGCCCCCAGCGAGAGCTTTTTGCCCCCAGTGTTGTCCAGTGCAATTTGGGGTCTCAGAGCAGAGATCTCCTTGCCATGATGCCCAGAGGTCCTTTTGCCCCATGTTTGCTGACAGGTTTCTGTGACCCTCTCTCCCATCCAATGTGCAGGTGGAATACGAACGAAGGAAACTGAAGAGATGTTTTAGGGGTCGGTTATTCCCAGGTGCCTCTGGATTTTCTCTCTCTGAGTCTGACCAGTGCAAGTTGCCCGCTTCTGGACAGGTAAGAACAGCATTTTCCTTGGTATGAGGAGGCTTTGGTCATACAGAGGAATGATGGGAAATCCCAGTGGCTGCAGCCCTCCAGCAGAGACCTAATAGAAGTTGAATATTTTCTGTGGCTGTGACCAAACAGACTGAAAGAGCATCCTTTCATTTTCTTCACAGGAGGAGTCTCATGCTCACTGCAGTCAGCGCTTAGTTGAATTACAGAACCAGGTGAGGAGTAGGAAAACGTTCATCAAAGGTTGCTGTGTTTGTACTCATGGCCACAGCTGTGCATGCTGCTACAGCCTGAGTTGTGTTCAGCTCTCAGGAAGTGAGTACAGCACGTGTTGTCAGTTGTGCACCTGTTGGCAGCAACCAAACATCCTTTACCTTGGTCTTATCTCTGACTTGTCTAAGATCAGGTGGTGGGAGAGAGAGATGGAATGAAATTCAGAACACTGGAAGTCACCTGAAAATATCAGAATCATAAAATGCTTAAGGTTGTAAAAGCCCTTTCAAATAATCTAATCTAACTATTAAGCCAGCATGGTCAATCCCAACACTAAACCATGGCCTGAAGGGCCACAGCCACATGTTTTCTGAGTACTTCCAGGGACAGTGAATCCACTGCTTCCCTGGGCAGTCTGGACCAGGATGTTCTCCTTTTCTGCCTGTTTCCATTTTCCCTTGACTCTGTAACAGTGGAGCTTGCCTTGCACTTGAGCAGAAATGCAGGGACCTGAGGCAATGCCAGAGGCTTATTATTCCATTTGGCTTAGTTGTCCACATTGTCCTCTACTCCTGTCTGGAATGCTCTGAAGTTTATGAGAGGGAGAGTTTGCTCCCTGTCCTTCAGCTGCCTGTCCCAGTAGCTCAAGTAGAAGAGTCCTCCAGGAACTCAAGTGAGCAGCAGCCCTCCTGCTGATGCACAGCCTGTGGAGAAAGGGGTCAGTGGCCCAAATGTGTGCTTTGGAAATCAGAGTTGGGTTCCTAAATCCCCTCAGAACTCTCTCTAACTGACCTGTGGTGGCTGAGGGATGTACATGGGAAGGCTTTACCAGCCTTGAACTGGACTTGTTGATCATCTGATCATCAGCCTGTTCCTTTCCCCTTGCCCCAGGGCACAGTGTTGGTGAGGGCTGGAGCTGGAGGCTGTGTCTGCCCCGGGAGCGGGTACCGTGGGGCTGCAGGTGCTCCTGCCAGCCTGGGCTTGTCTGAGCCGGGCCTTGTGCCTCTTTCAGGTGTCCCTGCTGCAGGCACAGCTGGCCCAAGACCGACAGCACTGGCAGAACTACGCTGAGAGCTGTGCAAAGACCAGCCAGGAGCTGTCAGACCTTCATGAGGAGCTGTCCTGTTCCTTTGCTGCTGTGCTCAAAGAGCCCAAAGCTGCTGTTCTGGAAAAAGAGGCTCAGAAGCTGGATCGGTCTCTGAACCTGAACTCAGCACTGACATCCCTGGGCCATCAGTCTCTGGAGAGACAGCCAGAGTATCCAAGAGCCAGACCTGCCAGAAACAATGGTGACCTAAGGTAACAGCATCTCTGGTCTCCATTTGAATGGAATGATTTCTCCTAGGACAAAGAGCTCATGGATATGAGAACTGGGATCAACTCCTCAGGGCAGGGCTACTCCTTGCCTTAAACATCGGTTGGTTTCACATTCAGCTGGTGTCAAACCCTACCTTATGTTAAGGATTAGGATCTATGAAACATTATTTCATGAAGTAGGTAATTTCTGGGACCAAAATGTGAATATATGAAAACAACAACATAGGTAAGGAGAGAGAATGATGTATGGAGAATGAAGCCCGAACATAAAAATTAATAATACTTGACCAGTAAGACTTGTGGGTGACATCTGTCCGAGAGCAGCTATTTAAAATAAAAGGACACAAAGACTGCTCTACAAGCAATTAAAGTAACATAACAGTTTGTGGTGTTTGCATTTGCAAGCATCTACTAGGAACAGGCATTTTAATTTTTTTAATAAAATGTTTTTCAGAAGAAAATTGTACTCATTTTCACTGGCACAGTAATGCTACTGCAAGCTCTTACACAATTTCCCTTCTTAAGGGCAGAGGTGTTCCCTGCAACAAGTAATGGGAATTACTTCAGAAAGGGGTGAAGAGCACAGCAGGGATCAAAGTTCAGTGAGAAATGGGGCTGCCCTTCCCTTCTCCTTTTTCTTCACATTTTCCCTCCAAAGCACTGGTGACTTTGCCCCAACAGTGAGCCTGAGGGATAGCTCAGCTGCTCTCCAGAAGCTGTCAGTGTCCAGCCCCAGCCCTGCCACGGCCCGAGGCCACAGACACGTGGGGAGGGTGTCCTGGGCAGGGGGAGCTGCTCTCCACCAGTGGCTGAATCGCCTCCTTCCCGTGCTGCCCACGCTGCTGGGAATGCAGCCCAGGACATAGGTACTTTCTGGGCCAGTGCAGGGAGAGTTGTCCTCTGACATTTACCCTTTAAGAGTCTTATCTTATTCTCTTAGCTTAACTATCAGCCCATCAACCCTGTATCTATAGGGTCTCTAGGTCATCTATAGGGTCCCTGAGGAGTTGGCCAGGCTCAAACACAGGTGAAGGAAGCTGGAACCCTCTCCTTGGTCCCCTCATACAGCTGCTTTCCTGCCCTAAATCCTCTTTTCTAGTTCCCCCAGGATGTGACAGATTGCAGGGAGGAGGAGCGGAGCAGGATGTGGCTGGGCGGATGTCTCACCTCTCACCACCAAGTGCAGGGTGTTGCTGGCAGCAGACCATTCTCTCGAAGCATTGAAGGTGTAGCACTGGCAGCTGTAGCGGCCGCTGTCACCTTCCTGCACGAGGGAGAGGTTGTAGTCGCCTCGTTCCCTGGGGAGCAGCTGGGCTCGGATCTGGCCCTCCAGGTACAGGTAACAGCCGGTGCTGGGGTGCGTGGTGGTGCAGCGGAACGTCACGTCAGCTCCTGGAGTCACCTTGTGCCCAGGCAGGACTGAGAGGCTGGGTCTGGGCAGACGGAGCTCTGTGGGGACAGGAGAGGGAATGAGAAGGTGCACAGAGCTCTGATGTGCCAGGAGCACCAGGATCTCTCTGAAGCCACCAACTGGCTCAGGCAGAGGCGAAGGTGGGCCCCAGCTCTCCAAGCCAGGGAAGAGGAGGAAGAACCTTGCCCATCATGTGAATATGAAAGCCAAGTGGCTGTGTACATCCTGATGTGCCCCTGGGGTGTGTGACACCACAAAAGAGGAAACAGCACATCCCTCACCTGCATCACCATGGCCCTACTCCTATTGCCAGGTAGCCCCAAAAGCTGCATACCCGAGGCTATGGTCTGATGTCCCTGGGCCTGTAACCATATCCCCATGTCCCTGCCCCATAGCAATGGTCCCCTCACCACCCATGAGTCTTCCTGCTCCTCTGCAGCTGCTATTTCTGAGATAAAAATGCCACATTCCTGTGTGTGCAGCAGGGAATTGAAACTGTTGGGCCAAGAGGAGATGCCAGGGCTTCAGTACAGGGGGCAGCAGCAGCTGCTCCAGCTGCTCCAGGAGTGGGCAGGGGTCCCCCGCACTGCCCACCATGGCCCTCAAGCAGCTGAAGGCGTGAGTGGGTCTGGGGGCACCTCTGGGTGTTTGTGGGGGGAGACAGGGCATGGCTGGAGTGTTCTGGGGGTCACAGGGGCCGTGGGTGGGGCAGGGGGCTCAAGGGGTGCTGGGGACAACTGAAGGGTGACTGAGGGAGGTGGGGACTGCAGCGGTCAGGGCTCACAGGGAGGGTTTTTCACTGGGGGCTGCTGGATGTCTTGGTTTTGACTGGGAGAGAGATAATTTTCTCCCCAGAAGCTGCTCCAGTGCTGTGTTGGGGATTCAAAGTGAGAACAACGTTTGTAACACGCTGAGGCCCCGCTGAGCTGACTCCAAGTCAAGACTTTTCAGTGTCCCGTGCTCTGCCAGCAAGGGGAGCACGGCCAGGAGACCCAAGTCAAACCGGCCAGAGGGATATTCTGGACCACAGAACCTCCTGCCCAGTCCAGAAACTGGGAGGGGGTTGGCCAGGAGCCACCGATTGCTACTGGGGAACAGGCTAGGCATTGGTCAGTGGGTGATGAGCGACTTCCGAGCACTGCTGGTTTCTCTCAGGTTTTATTCTGTTCTCTCTCCTTCCCATTACTATTAATAGTAGTAGCAGCAGTAATGTCAATATATTTAGTCTTGTTTCAGTTATTTAACTATTCTTTACCATTTCTGGATTCTCTCCCCCATCTCTCCAGAGCAGCATGCAGCTGTGTGGGACTGAGTTACTGGCTGGGGTTCAGCCACGACAGTCCTTCTTGGTTCTCAACTGGGGCACAAAGAGTTGAGATAACAACAGATCTGAGCAGAGTGTGTTAAAACAAAGTTGTTGTGACCATCTCTTGTATTTATTTAACAGCTGTGGGTCACAGTTTGCTCTCGGAGTTCCTGCCCGTGCACTCACAGGTGCATTTTATAAAAACCCTTCCTGGTGCGTGCAACCCCGTGGGAATGTTCATCCTCCCTTGGCTCTGGGCTTAGGTTATCATTGTGTTGTGGTTGGTAACACGGAGCTGTGCTACGAGAGAACGGCTGGAGCTGAATCGAAGCTGCCGGCTGTGCTCAGCATTGCCGTCCCCGCTGGGCTTCGGGAGCCATCCAGTGGGAACTGTCACTAATTACACCTTAGGCTTTTCTCCGGCGAGGGCCAGGCTATGAGACAAGTCTTCCACCGTGGTGTTGCCTTTGCCTCGCTCTGCACCTGCTCAGATGCTGAGGCCAAGTCCAAGAGGATGAGCACACAGAGCGATTCTGACAAAACTGGGGTGTGGTTTAACTTGTTCCGTTTCCTTTCCTGCCTAGCAGCCTTCACAGCAGGGCATTCTGCTGCACCTTGCCCTGTTCCTTACGGGCAGAGCCCAGCAGGTGCACAGCCTGGGCTCTGCTCCAGTTCTCAGGCAGCCCCGTTGTTAAGGAAATGTCCCTGTCTGAGCATCCCCCAGGCACTCTGGCAGTCACACTCCCATCACCAGACTGTTCCTGCTGGAACCAAATCCCCTTTGCAGTGGGTGGCTCAGGTGAGCCAAGGGTACCCCCATTGACTCCCTGCACTCCCCCCATTCTCACAGTCAGACCAGGTTTTCCACAGCAGAGTATCACATATCTCATTCCACAAAACAATTTATTTGCGGCGCAGGAACACAGAAACAAATTGAGCCAGTGCCTCCAGGGAGGGACCTTGAAGCCCATTGCTGTTACGCCTTCACAGTCTGAGCACAGCAAAGTCTCAGCTCTTCCTCCCAAGGCTTGGCATCTGCTCTGTCTCTGAGTGGCCACTGGCCTGGCTGTGCCACAGGTCCTCGGGCTCCTTGTCCTGCCAGGTCATGGGCTCTTCCCTCGGGCTCCTGCCAGCCAGAGCTCAGCCTGGAGTTGGCACTGCAGCTGCACCCCGAGCTACCTGCCCCAGGTGTATTCCTTAGCTGAGGAACTGCACACAGGACCTCCTCCTCGGCCTCCGGGACCGCAGGCTGGAGCTGCTGGAGCTGCCTGAGCACTGCCCCAGGTGCGGGTGTGCGTGAAGGCACTCTGGGGCCCTGGACCCTCGTGGCTGAGCAGGACATGTGGCCAGGGAAGCTGGGGCACAGCCGATACTGCTCCTCCCTTGGCCAAGCTGGAGAAGAGCTGCAGCTGGAGCGTGTGCCAGAAACTGCTTTGGGAGCAGAGGAACAGCGTCCCTGGGCTGCGCCCCTCGCTGTTCCCCAGGAGCCCCGTGGTGATCAGTCACTGCACCTCCAGCAGATTGCTCTGCCTGTCTCTTGCCTTTGTGCACAGAGCGAGGCTGGCAGGGCTCTGCTGTGTAAAAGCTGCCCCAAGGAACCAGATGGGCTGGAGGAACAGGCACCAGAGACCTCACCAAATCCAGCCAAGAAGGGGTCGGAAGTGAGAGTGTCGCCAAACAGGAAAATAGAAACTTATCCAATACCAATTGGATGTGAATAAGCAGACACTTCTTTATTCAGGTGCTGGGAACACAGGGATAACTCCTCTGGAAATGTGTTCCACTTAACAAACAAAACCCATCCATTTTATTTACTTGTTCTGCTGAATCATCATTATGTGTGTTCTTTTACATGCTACACATACTATGCCCACTCTTAAATTTAACCTTTACATTGTTTGGTTCTAATAGTTAATAACTTCATCAGTATTCTTACTCTAAAACAATCATTGGCCATCTCTCCTGAGGTCTGCTGACTGGAATCCTTAAACTTAAAATCAAGATGGGAAGGACAGTGGGTTTCCAAGCAGTGTTACTGGTGAGTGTGACTGCAACAGAAGGGTCCAGTAACTTCCTGGGGAGGTTTCTACGGTTACAATCCAAACACAGCCCCCCTGATATTTCTGTACCTTATATTTCACATTTGCCTACTTATAGTCATAGCTATATAACCCATTTATATTATCTGATTGTTTGATCAAAACATTCATAACAAGAGCAGACAGGAACAGCAGAAGCCAGGGCAGGGGAGACTGGGAAGGCGGCACAGAGGTGTCTGGGCTGAAGGGGATCCTGAGGAAAGGGGAGGAGAAGACTTTCCCTCAGCCTGTGCTTCTCTTTCTCAAAACATGACCAAGGAATCTCATGTTGCCAGGAATGGGCCAAACATCCACTTTGCTTTAATTTTCCCAGCTGTGGCTGCTTGGCCATGACAGGGAAGAAGGTCTAAAAAGGGAAAGGAGGAAAAGCAGCCCCCAAACTGGGCATCTTTGGAGTGGCAGTTCCTCCCATTCCTTCCTGTTGGTGAGGAAGCTTTGCCTGACAGAATGACACAACCGGGGAGGGGGGAAGGGGCCTGTGGACAGCAGCTCTCACATCTGGGTCACCCAGAGTAGGGGTGGCCCACAGGGCTGTCCAAAGGAGCCTCCAGGTGGGCTCCTCTCCCCCCAGGTATGGTGTGCAGTTTCCGTGTGACACAGTGTCAACGCAGTGATGTGACAATGCGGTGATGTGACATCACCATGATGGAACAATGCCCCGTTGCTGGGAGACCTCTGGAGCACGAGGAGTCAGCGTGGGATTGCAGCACCACAAGAGCTCATGGAAGGAGCTCTGGAGCTCCATCTCACTGCTGGTGTCCTGCCAAAAGGCAGAGTCACTGCTGAGTGTACTGGGAGCTACAGGGAGGAAAGCAGTGGGCTGATAGAGAGAGCTTAGCTGGTGAGCCTGAGGCTTGGGGGTCTGCTCTAGGCCTAAGGACCCTCAAGACCCTCAGCTCCTTCTCCTGCACCTGCTGTGCAGGAAGCTTATTGAGCTACTGCCCGAGTGTCTGTGTCTTCACAGATTGGCCCCAGAACTGCACACCTGGGAGATTGAGCCACCAGGCTGATGGATTACCTGCTGGATCTCCCACTCGGAGTCAAGATCTATGTGAAGCCCAAGTCCAACTCTGTCTTCTGCAGGGGAAAGCTGGGGGAAAAGGTAAAGGAAATAAAAGAGTGCAGAAAAGCTCTCCTCTTTACTGCTCTCCGGCCTCCTTCATACTCTGGGAAATGTCTCTTACAGCTTCACTGGCAATGTCCTTCTTTCAATCTGGACGACCCCTACATGCATCACCTGAACCTGCAATACAACTGCCTGCATGACCCCCACCTTCAGGACTACCACAAGCGCAAGGACATCCTGCGGATGCTGAAGAAACAGGGCTTTGTCACCAGTGACAAGGTAGGTCTGGACTTCAGGCTGATCAAGAACAGCCCTCTTCAAGCAGGGCTCCCACCGCCCTTGCTGCAGCCGCCTGCTGCTGCCAGAGGACAGAGGCATGTGCTGGTGTCCCTGGGAGCAGAAGCAGCACCAACATCGGCCTGGCAAGCCCCAGGCCTGCCCTTCTCAGCCTGCCCCACGCTGCCTCTTCAGCCCGGGCTGGGGGGACATCAGTGGCCCCAACACCAGGGTATGAGTGGAGGGCATGGGGGCAGCTCCTCTCCCGCTGGGGTCAGGCTGTTTTGGGGAAGGCCGACTGCATGGCTTGACAGTTTTTGGGGGATTCTGCCCTCGTCCCTCCACAGGTGATTTGCACTGTGAAGGAGTTCAACGAGTACAGGCAGTACCTGACCAGGACCAAGCTGCAGTCAGAGCAGATCTTAGGGCGGAGAGAGGTAGGCAAAGTGCTGTGTTCAGGGCCGTGGGACTGTGCAGGGCTGTGCTGCTGGGCTGGGCGCTGTGGTGAGGAAAGGACTCCATGGCTGAAAGCTGAGCCAGCGCAGGGCACTGAGCTGGGCAGGGGCAGCAGAGCCATGTGCAGGCACACCCCGTGCGGAGGGAAGCCCTTCTCTCCTGCCCTCGTGGCCTGGCCGAAGCAGAGGGCCAGCCTGAGCCTGCGGGAAGCCTCAGCACACAGGGGCTGAGTGCTTGTCCAGGCACCATGACCCACAACCTGGTGTCACCTTTCAGGAAGGGCTTCTGCCTCATTTGGCCAAATTAAAGGATGGTCCCAAAGTGTCAAGAACCACTGACACTTCCTGCAGGGCACAGCGGCAGCTGCAGCCTCAGAAACCTTCTTGCCCACCTCCACAGAAGACCAAAGAGAGCCCCCTGAAATCAGGGAAATTCAGAAGAGTGAAAGTACTTTTAGACAAGGGCCAAACCCACTCCACAGCTGAGCTGGGCCAGGAAGATGCCAGCAGAGCCGCTGGCTCCCAGAGGAAGCCGGACAACACTGCTGACAGCCTCTTGAAAGCTGTCTTTGAGCAGCTGACCACAGCAGAAGCCCAGAAGCTCCAAGAGCTGGTTGAGACCATTGTGTTCAAAGAGTTTGCAAGGCTGAAGGTTCCTTGCGACCAGCGTGTCAATTTTTTAAGGAACATTGCTCAGGGGATCAGAGGAAGTGATTTTGGCAGATCCGCGAGAACAGAGCCTGCAGAGACACCACTAGACCACCAACAGGAAATAGAACTGGTGGCCAAGGAGCTTCTAGCGATGGTGTTGGAGATCCTGGGGGACCATCTGGAGTCCAAAGCTTCTGAGTCAGGGAGGCCATCCAGGCACAAGGAGCAGCTTGTTGACGGGGGAGCCACCCAAGCAGACACATCCAAGGAAGCTGAAACAGACGGAGCACCACGTTTAAACGCTTGCCTTGACTATCTCACCATCCAAGTTGTTAAGAATATTCGCTACCTCTTGAAATCCATGATAGCTTCTCAGTTTGGAGGAGACTCCAGATGTGAGTACACCGAACTCCTGAAGCTTTCCAAGGGTAAGGTCACCAACAGACAGATGCAGCCACGATTCCCTGGAGCATCTGAAGAGCAGAGCCAGGAAGAAAGCGCAGGAGTAAAGCTGCCTGCCTTAGGACCACAGCTCCATGCAAAAGGGACTGGCTATGCCAAAACCATGGAGCCTGAGAATCCTGCAATGGTGAAGGGGAGCTTGGTGAGAGAAAGGAATCCAGCAACCTCAGGCAACACTTTGGACATAGGGACCATGGCAAATCGGATCGTTTGGTCTGTATTTGGGCGGGTTGTTCGGCATAGGCCTGCACCAACCTGCAGACAGAATTTCCAATGACCTGTCCCAAACCCAGCCACAAGCCAAGGCAGAGAGGAGAGCCGTGCTGCTGAGGACACTCTCCTCTCCTTGGACCCACACTTTTCCTGACTGCTTGTCCCTCTGGAGGGTCCAAAGCTCCCTGCCCAGGCCAGAGCACGGCGCAGATCAGGGCACCCAAAGCCCGTCTGAGGTGAGCAAGGCGTGTGGCAGGAGAGCTGAAGGGCCTCTAGACAGCAAACTTCACACCCTTCTTCTGTCAATAAAGAGTTTACCCATACGGCCTTGCTTGTGCTTCCTCCAAACCAGGCCAGACTGCATCTGCTTATTTTCCCTGCTGTAACCTGTCCCATCCTCTTCCCTTCTACAGCCTCAGCCACACTGAAAGCCAATTTTACAGGTGTCTTAGTTTGGAAATGCAAGATGTGGCTGGGGGTGTGTATTCTATTGCCATCTGTTAGATGTGGGGAGAGTTATCGTCTGTTAGCTACCCACAAGGTATTTGTTAATTGTGCAGTTTTCTTTATCCCTTCCACAAATAATCCTCCCTCTGGAAAATACCTTCTGTTAATGGGCCATTGAGTATCCCTGCGTGACTGATAAAATTACATCATTCCATTGTGAGATGCTCCACCCAGAGGGAGGAGCCAAGCATTCTTACCTGGATATAATTCGAGGTTTGGAACACCACAGCAGCCTTTTCCCACTGGATTTCCAGAAGAGTAGTTTTCTTTTCTACTGGAATTCCAGGGGAAGACCAGGCCCATCTACACTACCACTGGATGTTCAGAGCAAAACTACATCCTTCTACACAATCACTGCTTCAATACAACCACACATGTCACTCCTGGAGGACTGAAGCCACCATTTAATCAGACTACTACCAACACCCTGACCCACAGGGTGTGAGGTTGTATTCTGACTCTGACAGTGTGAAAATCACGTTTCTCTCTCCTGTGAAAATGTTAAAATTTAATAAAGGACAATAGGAGACAAAGACAATAAAGCAAAGATTATAGCCAGGTGCATCTTAGCACTCAGCCAAGAGCACACCTGCTATTTTGGAAACACCCTTTAGATACCATTTCTATTGCATCAGCCTGTTACATATTCATAAGCAATTTTGCACAGTAAACTTTTCCCAAAATGAGTTTACATATTCCAAGAACTGTTTAGCATGGCTCCGCCTTTTTAGAGGATGTGTATCCCTTGGTTGTTGTTTTAGTCCATTCTTATCATAACCTTCAGCTTTTGGGCCTTTGTCCACACTGTCTTCAGACAGTGAGTGCTGATGGTTGGCAGATCTTTAGCAGGTGTCATCATCCTGTGTTCATTGGATGCTATCCTGTTCAAACAGGAATTTTAACAAAAGCATACTTACATCAGCTATTTCACTACTATGTCTAAGTCTAATTAACAATAGAAATAAAAACTGTATTTTTATGTGAGAAATGACTGCTCACTTTAAAAATGCTAAAAGGTTTATTAAACCTTCACAAAAAATACAACAAAAGGACTAAATAAGGAAAAACAGGCCTGGAAGTCCCGCCCCATGGCCCATTCACAAAATGGCTGCTCTACGTTTTATACCTTTGGTGCTGCATCGGGTAACCCTGGCCCCACCCAAAGTCTGTCGGTTAACTCTTTGTCACTGTCCAGTGGTGGAGCTTTCTTGCAACATGACTGGAGGTCAGGTGCTGCCATGCTGTGCCTCTTAGTAAAAAACCTGCCCTCCCCCTAAATGCCCTGACCACCAAGGCCATTATGGGGGATATATCACAATAACATCACTACACATCTTAACATACACATAATATTTATCTTGTAATTGTGAAAGCCAGCTATTACATTACTTATCTATAACAGACCCTCATTTTCCTTTTCTGTAAGTCATTTGGCTTGAACAATTGACTGTCATTTTTGATTCTGGTAATCTACCCTTACTTTTCTGTCCTGGTTTAGGGCATATTTGTGAGAAAACCTCCAAAAGGGCCCCCCCCCGCCCCAGTAAGCAAACCCACACGTCCCCTCCCTCCAACTGGTTCAGGAAAAATTTCCTCAGAGGGAAGTGGATAAAACCTGTTTATTTAATAGGCAAAACACTCCACAAAAAATGAACAATACCAAATGAAAAAACTCATTTGCGGCTCTGAAGAGATGACAAATTCAGAAAGTCTCTCTTGTGGGTGGTTGCTCTGTTATCAGTCCCTCTGGCACTGGCAAAGGCTGCTGCCCAGAGCCAGAGTAGCCCCCAGTGGGCCACAAAGTGCAAGCTCTCGGTGCTTCCCGCGTCCCAGTGTGGAGTAGGTTCGAACAGTTCCAAGAAAAGGGAAAGAAGAATAAACAGTCCAGGGAAAACTTTTCTGCTAAACTAACTAAAAAGAAAAGGAGTGCTCTGTCCTGCTCTGTTGGCGCCCAGACAACAACAGTCCAGCAGAATGTGGAGGAGTGAGTGCAGGCTGATAGCTGTGGGAGGATGTATTGTGAGAGAATAGAGATAATGCAGAAGGCAATCTTGGCCTGAGGAGTTGCAACTGTACTAATTACCTGAGAGTAGGAACAGCCTTGTCTTTAATAGGCCACAGCTGTGTCCAGTAAGGATGGGTGTTATAAAAGAGTTGGGTTAGCTAGTTGAGAGTAGAGTCAGTTGGCTGTTCTTCTGCAAGGAGCAAGGGTCAGGCAGTCGTGCGAGGGACAGTAAGGGTTAATATGTGCTACTAGGGACAGATAGGGTTAGGTGGTTGTGCTAGGGACAGGAAGAAGTCAGCCAGCTGTGTGGAAGAAAGAGAAAAGGAGTCAGTGTTGCGAGGAGCTGCCTGAGAGAACTCACAGAGAGAAGGTATGAAAGTCTTACAGTAGGATGATAAAGTGACAGTCAGTCAATCGGTGCCAAGCACTGATGCTGACAGACAACAAACTCTATGCTGCTTCTTCTCCCCACCTTCACTCTTAGAGCCAGCCTTGAAGGCACAGAATATAATATCCAGCATAAACAGAACACACAATTGGGGATACAAGCATCATAAGGTCACCCTAGGACATTTAAAAAAAAAATTTACTTGCATCTGTTGGTGTGGGCAGGGACAGTGGGAACAGGACAAAATCTTAAGTTTCTTAGTGGTGAGAACAGAGGCCAACCCGGTGTTGCCATTTAGTCTCTGTTGTATTAAGAGACAATTGAGGAATGATAGAGGTCTGGTATGGCTTTCTTGCCCCTTACCATGACTGTGGGGTTGCTACCCACAGCAGAGTTATAATCTTCCCAGTGGCAGACACGGGCCAATCCATTCTTGTCCTCTTAAATGAACCGTCCCAGCACTTCTCACTGTTCCTCATGTACTTCCCTCAACAGAGACTTGTAATCTTCATTTATTCAAAATAGGACAATTGTATTAATGACTAATACAATTTAAATTCTCTGCTCAAAATGTTACTTAAGCAGTTATCTAAAGCATGCAGAGTAGCCCTGTGAGGCTTTCACTTGTCTTTCAGAAAGCACAACAACAGGGGGACAACATTAGTCCATCAATCTACAAGAATGAGTTCACACATTTGCAATTTCTAACAAGTCTACAGCAAAATTAAGGCACAAGGTAAGAATATAAGTAACAGCAGTTTGAATGGGCTGGTTTGTAGGCATTCTTATCTTCTCAGAATGGCTCAGTGGAAGCAGTTTATCTTCTTTATGATCTGTGTCAGTGTACCAGTCTCTGGGGTTTCACAGAACTTCTAGGATTTCTGCTCCTTTGGAGTTCTCTGGTGGGTGTACTTGCACTTTGCAGTCAGTGGTAGAGACTTAAGAACGCTTTTGATTCTTGGAGTCAGGAGGCTACAAGGCTGTTATGGGGGATGTATTACAATAACATCACTGCTTAACTATTGCCAGCCAGGGGCTCTGTACAAGTCACCAACAGGACGGGACTGTTGTGGAACGCGTCTCGAGCTGTTCATTTTTCAGCATCAGTCTCATTACAGGGTTATGGCAATGGGAAGATGCCAGCAGCTCACATCCCAGGCAACAGACCAAGAACTTAATGTTACAACTTACTTTAAAAGCTTTTTGACCAATCACACAAAGCAAAAGCATATTGACAGTAGTTCTATCCAATCACTATAAATACACGTGCCTTTGGTTAAAACAATGCTGGCTTATTTTGAATACAATACTTGCTTGTAAGCCTCAAGATACAATGCACAGAGCTCCATTATTAAGCTTAGAACTTCCTAATAGCTCACCAGATATACTTTTCTGCAACTTAGGGAGTTATTCTACCCAAGCGTTAATACACAGACCACTGTTCTATTTGTTCTTTCTTTCTACTTCTTGTATAATTTTTCTGCTGGCAAATCTTATAGCTGCTGCTTAGCTCTAATCACCATCCTGCTGTCTCTGAGACCTGCCTTTTGCCATGTGCCCAAAACTCTCTGTTTTTAAGGAATCCCACACCTAACATATACATAATGTTTATCTTGTAATTGTGAGAGCCAACTATTACATTACTTATCTATAATACTTTATAACACAGTTACTTTAACGCCACACATATAAAATCCATTTTGTGAAAAATGGATATTATATGATTGGCTCTTTGCAAATATTAAAATGAATACTATATGTGTTATGTTTGAAAGTAGTGTTGTATTAATCCTTTTTTAAGTAATATTGTATTAATATATTTAAGTGGTGTGTAAAATATATTTTTAGGGTATCGCATAATATTGAAATAGAAGCTATCTGATGTAAGATACCTTTTTGTGGCCAGCACAAGGAATGGATGAAATAATCAATTTCTTCACAGAGATAACAGCAAGAGTTACTGCCTCCGTATTGGAAAAGACAAACATCCTTCCACCTCCTCTCTGTCTTTTAGGAGCCACCAGGATTAAGGGGGAAAAGTTGACAAAAACCAGAAAAATCCCTAGTTTGCTAGGAATTTATGCATAATCTATGAGATATATGAATATACAACAGGCTATTGCTTTTAAGGATTAATCCTTTGTACACAAGGCATGCTTTTCGTGGCTTTAGTGCCCAAGAGCATCCAGACATCCGTAATTCTTTGCTTTTATTGCCCTTTATTGTCCTAACTCTGATTGTCCAAAATCTTATTGCTCTAATTTTTATTACTGTTTTTATAACCATTTTATTACTATTAAACTTTTAAAATTTTAAAACAAGTGATTGGCATTTTTCACACATTTTAATATTTCAAAAAGCCAGTATTATACTATGTATCTATAACAGTCAGTGTTGTGTTGTATTATTGCATTTTTATTTTTATATTTTCTTTTAATTTTTTTCCTAATAAATAACTGTTATACCTGCTCCCATGTGTTTGCCTGAGAACCCCTTAATTTCAAAATTATAATAATTTGGAGGGAGGGCGTTTGCATTTTCCTTTTCAAGGGACGTTCCTGCCTTCCTTAGCAGACGCCTGGCTTTTCAAACCAAGATGTAATATATGTTATGGAATAATTCGTGGTTATGTAAAATATATATATGCAATAAATGGTGCTTGTATGAAAAATCCTTAAGGTTTTAAACCACAAGCCGCAGCTGAGGAAAGGCTGCGAAACCACAGATGGCAGCAAGCAGAAAGAGCTCATTTACAAATGCAAAAGCGTGGCTCTGTGTGGAGATTGTCCCTTTCCTGGACCATCTGAGAGACACCCAATGAATACATGGGAGTTATCTATGATCAAGATAGTCAGAGTCGTCAGGAGCATCATCCCTATACCAGGTTCCCATAACTCAACATCAGCATTCATCGCTTCCCAAAAACGGCTTTGTCCAGCCCAGCACAGAGAAAAGGAGACCCCACTGTCCGAGATTGAGAAGCAGGATGTTTTCTATTACCATCAGTGTAGCAGTTGCCTCTGGGCAGTTTTCCTTATCTCCTGTTAATGGGCCCATCAATGTCTCCCACATGACTCAGACAACTCCCTCCAGGAGCCATTTGCTATTTAACGGGTGATCAAGGACCCACCAAGTGACTCAGAATGACATCTGCCCATGGTGAGATGCTCTGCCCAGGGGGAAGAGCAAGCATCGCCACCTAGATATATTCTGGTATTTTGGACAGAGCAGGCAGCCTTCCCACAGGTTTCCAAGAGGACACAGCTGGGGTTTTCCACTAGACAGACTAAACCTTTTCTACAGGACCACTGCAAAAACAGAAACCACATCTGCCACTCCAGGAGGACTGCAGCCACTCCAGTTTGGACTGCTACCAACACGCTGGCCAGAGGGGTGTCAGGTTGTATTCTGACTTTGTCATTGGTCTTCCTTTTGTATTATTGCATGTATTTTGTTTCATTTCCCTTTTCCCAATAAATTGTATTTCTGACTTGGAGTCTCTCACTGGTTTTGCTTTCAAACCAGAACACCCATGAATATGTGAAGCAGTGAGAAGAACAGGAGAACCTCTGCCCCAGGTGGAAAAACCTGTTTAAAAACTGACTGGACAGAAACAACATTAGTGAACAGAGGGGATCCGATGCGGTAGAGGTTGGATTAGTGCTCACCCAGTGCCAATCCCGGGCTCATTGCTGTCCTTTTGATTGAGGCTATCAGAGACCAAATGTCAGCCATGAAATAAAAATCTATTTTATTAATTATTATTTTGGCTTGATCATTTTTACCTGTAACAAAGACAAAGGGGAATCTGAGTTAGGGAGGTGAGGAGTAGCCAGCATTTTTGTCTCGTACAGCAAGCTTTGTTGCCAGGTGAGTAGAGGGATGTATCCCATTGGAGGCAGCCTGACTTTCACCTTGTGTGAAGGACAATTATGTCTTTGCCTTGCAATCCTTTTTGCAGGGCCCTTTCTCAGACCAGGTTGCCCCAGAAGCTCTGCAGGAGCATTCAGTGTTGCTGTGCTGGGTGAATATCTAATGAGGGGGTGCCAAGAGGCTGAAACCAGCCCTTCCTTGGCACTGCCCAGCAATGGGACAAGAAACTTCAGCAGGAAGTTCCACCTGAGCATGAGGAAGAAATTCTTTCCTGTGGGGAAACCACCTATGGGGGTGGCGGTCAGAGGTTTTGGAGTGTACAGGTGACCTGTGTCAGTTGGAGGTTGTCACCTTTGACCAGTGCAGGGACTCACACTAATGACGGGCTCATCACATCTACAGGGAAAAGGACAAAAGGTCAAAAGGATGAGAACAAAGCTAATGTCTTTAAAACAATTTGATGGGTGAAGGTTGGTGTTAATGTTTTTGAAATGGGCCTTAGTGTTTCTACTAACTTTGCATGTTTGTTGCAGACTCGAGACAGCTTGACTCCTAAAACAGCCAAGGGTGTGCACAAGCCTGAAGTTCTGAACTTTGGGGTAAAGTGACAGGTTCAAGGGGAGTGGGTGGTTCGAGGAGGCTGTACTTTCCTCGTACCTCAGCCAATGGGCAAAAGAAGAGGGCAGCTCCCAGGGCGTGCAGCTGGGAGTTAGGATAAAAGGAGGCTGCACCCTCTGAAACCAAGAGAGAGAGAAAAGACCACAGGTGTGTTCTCTGCTGGACTCTCTCCCTTTATTCAAATAAAGTTGAAGGACTCCTTTGTCTCTTTTTTGGACATAAACCTCTGGTGTTTGTGAATTTTCCTAGCAACTGGGGGACCTATCCGGGATCCTTCCACTGTTATTTCCCAGGCACCCCCCACCCAGATCCCTGGGGAACAGCAGCTTCAGGAACACTGCCCACTGGTTTTGGGAAGGTAGTGCCTCTGCAGAGCCACTGGAGCTGAATCCAGGGATTTGGGCAATCTCTGGAGCCCGCAAAGAGTTGGAGTTGGGGGATGGGAAGAGCTGGTGGCTGGAGCAGGGGGTTGGGAGGCATGGGTGGTGGACTACTCCCGACCTGCACCCTCCCTTTCCACTGCAGGATCCCCAGGCTGCTCTGGACAACGCTCTGGAAGGAGAATTTTTGTGGAACTTCAACTTGAGAAGGGGGGGGGAGGAGTTGGGAGGGGGGTCTTGAAGGTCCTCCTCCCCTTCCCCCCATCCTCCTGCGAGGCAGGGGGAGCACCACCAAACCCTTGGAAACTCCCCAGAAAAGGGGGTTACAAGTCTGAGGCAGTGACAGACCAAAGCCTGGCCTTTACACAGATACACAGAGGGATTTTGTTTGGGTCACTGGGGAGGCAAGTGATTTTGCAGAGAATTCTGCAGCTGTGGAAGTGTGAGAGCCCAGAAGGAGAGGGAGCAGGGACTGAAGAAGTGGCCAAGTGGGCCTTTGCAGAAATTTGTTAGAAAGGCACCTCAGGTATATGACTGTTAAAGTTTTCAGGATCTGCTATTGTACTAGGGGCTCACAACACTGGAGCCCTTGAGCTCTTACTGAACTGAGAAGTGTGTTCCCTAGCACACATGTGAACTTCTTTATCTAATTTGAATTTTATGCCAAAGGGGGAATAATTGTTCAAATGTTCTTTTCTTAAGTGGGAAAGATGAGCAGGTTTTTTCAGCCACTATTGGTAAATGTGTGTGTGTACATGCAAATGGCCTCTGTGTGTGTCGAGTTTTGCCAGCAAATAAAAGTAACACGGGGACACTTGTGAGAGTTTGCTGAATTTGTGAGAGGGGTTTGAAAAGCATGAGTTTCTGATTATTCCTAGTTGTGATTGTGGTTTGCTAGAAGGGGATTTGATGACTGGAGTTGGGAATGTTCTAAGGGGTGATGGGGGGACCAGCGCTGTTGGAATATGGAAAACTGGATGTGGGGCCTCTCCAGATTACTCTGAGATACCCAGGACAACTGGTGTCTAAGAAGCAATACCCTCTTTCAAAGGAAGAAAAGAAGGGTTTGCCGCCTATTGCTGAGATAAAGGCCGGTCTTTTGAAGCTGTGTATGTCTCCCTGTAGCACTCCTATCCTGCCAGTTATGTGCAGGACCTAAGAGTAGGCTTTTAAACCCTGGCATTCCACTGTCTAGATCCTTGTACTGTCTTGAGTTGGGTTCCTTCCTCACACTGCTAAGGGATGATTTCTGGGGATACCCACTTTCAGAACACAGTAAACAGTATTTTCCCTTTAAGTCAGAACAAGAGGGAGAATAGGTTAATTTATTCCGTCCCTAGGAATTAGGTTATTGCTGTATGTGAAGGACTTGCTCCTATTGGAAGAATGGGAGGAGGCCTGTTGTGGTTTGACACTGGCCAAACCCCAGGCACTCAGGAAAGTTGTTTACTTACCCTCTCCTGCTACGGTTGGGCAGAAGAGAGGGAAAAAATTAACAAAGGGCTCATGACTTGAGACAAGGACTGGAACACTCTAAGGGCAAAACAGGTTCAAATTTAAAGGTATAAATTTATTATTAACAGAGGGGGATATGAGAATAATGAGAAGCAAATTAAGCCTTTAAAACACTTCCTTCCTTCTTTCCTTGGGATCTTTTTCTGTTCACTCACAGAGAGGAGTCTTTTTCCTGCTGTGCTGTGGGGTCCCTCTCAGAGGCAAACAGTTTTCCCCAAACTGTTTTGGTGAGGGTTACTCATCCACAGGGTCTAGTCTTTTAAGAATAGGCAGCTCTGGTTTGCAAGCAAGGATTCTGTCTCTGGAAGCAAGGGCCCTCTCTCTATTCGGGTGTCTCACTAGATCACAGCTTTCTCTGGCATCCACCTGCTTTTCTGGGAGCACTTTTCCCACAGGCTGTGAGGGGATCTCTGCATCCCCCATGGACTTCAGGCATCACAGGGGAACAGTTTGTCTCACCATAGTCTTTACCATGGCTTACAGAGGAATCTCGGCTCTGCTGCCTGGAGCACCTCCTCCTGCTCTTTCTTTTCCACTAACCTTGGTGGCGCATTATTGTTCTCCTTCACACGTCCTCACTGCCTCCTCTTACCTGACTAGAAGAAAAACTGCTGCTCATAGATACCATTGCCAACAAGTTCCACTAATTCAAAGATTCCTGCAGTATTTCACAGTGCCAGGAGTTTGATCTGTTTAGGTTCCACACTAGGGAGTCATTCCCCATGCTTCTGCCACTGGCCAGGCAGCTGTGCCACCACTCATGGGCAGTGCCAGCTGTGTCAGCGCTGGCACTATTTAACTCCCCTCTTCATGCAGAGAGCTGGGAAGGAGAAGCTGCTGCTGCCGCTCCTGCCCTTCCACCTGAGGAAGGCTATGGGGAACCAGGTGGGCAAGGCTCAATGCGGCCATGCCAAGGGGGTGGCAGCTGTGATGGCAATCGCCGTGGGCTGGGCAGGGATGGCCTCAGTGGCAGCGCCTCACCGCCCCTGGGAAAAAACCTGCCTGTGCCCCCTTTTGATTTTCTTCTTAAATACATCAGAGGCGTGACCAACCTCTCTAATTGGGCCAGCAGCATGTCCATCTTCAGAACCATCAGAGATTGGCTCTGTTGCACTTGGTAGAAGCTTCTAGCAGCTTCTCACAGAAGCTCTCCTGCTACCAAAAACCGGCTGTGACAAATGCCGCAGGGGAAGGGCCTGAGCCGGGACAAGGCCGCGCCGGGTCTGTGCTCTGCCGGGCTCGGTGCTTGTTTGCCCGGCTGTACACACACACGCTGTAAGGAACTGCTATTCCTTTTCCCATGTCTTTGCCTGAATGCCCCGTAATTTCAAAGTTATAATAATTCAGAGGGAAGGGAGTCATGTTCTCCATCTAAGGGAGGTTCCCGCCTTCCTTGTCAGACACCTGTCCTTCAAACCAGGACACTGTCTCAGGTCACCTCCTTATCTGTCATGTGCCTTAACATTGCTTCCATGAGGATCTGCTCCATGATCTTCCCAGGCACAGAGAATGAGGCTCACTGGTCTGTAGTTCCCTGCATCTTCCTTTCTCCCCTTTTTAAAAACAGGAACGTTATCTCCCTAGTTGCAGTCCCCAGGGACTTCGTGTGAGTTTTAAATTACTGTTGGGAGGGGCTTGGCAATGCCATCAGCCTGTTCCCTCAGGATCTTGGGGCCCACCTCATCAGACCCCACAGACTTATGCCCAGTCAGTTCCCTCAGGTGATCCTGAACTTTGGCACTGGGTGGGACTCTGCTCTCCCAACACCCATCTGGAAGTTCAGCGACTTAAGAGATACCTTTATACTTTGTTTAGTTCGTATCTCAGCCTTTAAAGTTTACTTTTATTTTTCCCAATCTCCTGTTCTCTAGGGGAGAAAGGAGGAAGAGGTGGGGGGTGGGTGAGTGGCTGTGTGGTGTTTAATTACCAGCTGGGATTAAACCACAATGATGGAGACCCAGAATTGTGCACATGAGCCGCTTGAGCAGCCCATGCCAGCGCTCACCCAAAGGGGGGCAGTGGGAGCAACCCCTTTCCAACAGGAACTCACTGACACTGCCCTGCTGTGTCACAAGCTCGGTCTTTGGTGGTTCCTAATCCTGGAACTTCCCACATACAGTCATAGACATCCCAGATGCCTCCTTAGGGCCACAGGAGCAATGTACCTGGGCAGGGAGGATGGTGGCAACTGAGCACATGGCATGGCCAGTGGATGGAGGACAGCATTGGTTCCTGCGCAGCTCTTTGCCACCACATTTCCAACTGTGCCTGCAATTGTAGCTCCCTCATGACAAGAAATACAGTGCTGAACTGAAGCGAGTCCCAGGGACCCTCAAGGTGGAGAGGGTCTGGTGCACACAGCTTGTAACATGGGGCTGTGGTGTGGGAATCCAGGGCTTCCCTCTGGTTGCCCTGGCAGGTCTGGGACCCTGGCAGGGGTCAGGAACCCCCCTGGACAGAGCCCCCAGAGACACTGTCTGTGATCTCTGTCCATGGAGAGGAGTTTTCAATCTTACAGAATGAATTACAGGCTTTGAGTGTTTGATAAGAGTAATAATTAAGTGTGACACGGGTGCAAAAGTAAAATTTTAGGTTTCTAGATTAGGGGTTCAGAGGGGACAAGATGGAGGAAATTGGGTGTGTCTTGTCCTTTTCCTCCTTCCTCATGCCCTCCATGTTTCACTGTGGTGTTGGCATTTTTCAATTGGTTTAGGCTGGGGACATGCTGTTTAATGTAGATGATAGATATTGGTACATGATTGTAAATATAGTACACGTAGTTTCTGGTATATAATGTTTGTAACATCCCACTGGGGGCAGAGCCCCACACGCTGCCCTGCAGGACAGAGCTGCGGCAGGGCAGCAGAACATGTTATAGATAAGCAAGAATAAACAACCTTGAAACCAGCACAGATGAATTATGGCTTCTTCTTTGGCAACGGGGCAGAAAGACAGAGACTTTCTACAATCTCAGAATCACCAATACCCACAGATTCCGACACTGTGGGAGCTTGGCTTACCCATCCTGGAGAACAGGGGGGTCGGGTGGCCCCGCAGCAGCAGTGGGTGGGTGGTTGTCAAGAGGGGACCACACAGGCCAGCATCAGTCACAGCCTGTGTTAGAAGTCACCAGGTGACATGTCACAGTCTCGTGGCTCTGGTTGCTGGTGGGTGCAGTGTAACTGGCAGAGTTTGTGGTTAATTGGGAGTGGGGCTGCGGCCCAGCTTCATCCCTAATGGGCTACAACTGCACAAGACAGGTGAACAGTACTGGAGGTAATGAGACACAGCGTGCTGAGGTGTGCTGACCAACCACAAAAGGGTAGAGAGGGCACACAGGCGCAATGCATCCAAGATGAAGGGTATAAAAGGTTGTACTGAGGAAAAATAAAAGCGCTGATGCTTGAAGCCATCTTTGGTGCCAGTTGTACCCCCTACAGCAACAAGTAACAATGACCTAGGGTGACTTTATGATGCTGAATTGTAGTCCCATTTGTCTGTTTAGCCCAGAAGTAAGTTTTGCACCTTTAAAACTAGATTTGAGAGCGAAGGGGGGAGAGGGGGAAGCAGTGGAATGTCTAAGGTGGCTGTATTCAAAAACATATAGGTAAGAGCTTCAGCTTTTCGTCTCTCAGACTCTGTTGTCAGCAGCACAGACAGCAGGAGAGAGTTCTCCTTTGCTTTTTAATTGGATTTTCTTAGCTATTTTAGTTTTTGTTTTTCCTTAGCTGAGCCAAGGATGTTTCCCAGACCTTGGATTTTCTTTTTCTTGGAACTGATTGTCCCTGCTCTGGACTGAAAACCCAGAAAAACACCTGGAACTCACACTTGTGGCCCACCAGGGCCCAGGAAGTGGCATTTTCCAGCACAGGAGGGACTGATAAGAGACTGAGTGAGCTAAGTTACACCCCATGAAAAGGACTTTCTGAATTTGCCATCTCTTCAGAACAGCAAGAGGTTTTATTAATGTCATTAATTTCTTATTCTTGTGAATACTTTTCTTGTTAGATAAACAGGTTTTTTGCACTTTCTCCAAGGAAATCTTTTCCTGAACCAGCAGGAGGATGGGCCACTTGAATCTGCTTTTGGAGGGGGACCCCTTTGGAAGTTTCCTCCCAAATTTACCTTAAACCAGGACACTGAGTAACAGTGGTAACAGTGGCTGAGGTAACAGTGATGCTGTGAGGCACAGCCCCAGTGCAGTGCAGTTTCACCCCAGGCTCTTGTACAGCATCACTGTGGGTGGCCTCAAGATGAAGGGACCAGCATCAGGATGTGCAGCTCTGTGCTGAGACAGACGGGGGGCTGAAAGTGCCCTCTGAAACTCTCACGCTCATCCTCAGGTCTTCACCACCTCCCCTGTCCTGAGGGAAATGTTACCTTTCTATCTTTCCTTGCTAGTGCTCTGCCCTACCTAACCTTGTCCCAGGCTCTCCTGCATTCTGCTGTTCCCAGAGGAACCTCAGCTTCCTCCTGCCCTGGTGGTTGCATTATTTGGCATTAGTCATACAGCTGTGCCACAACAGCTGCACGGCTCAGCCCTGGTCAGGCTGGCTGGCTCCATCAGCTTTGGGGAGTACTTGGAGCCAGTCTGGCACGCAAATCATCCACTAGTCAAGCAATGCCTAAAGCAATGCCCAGAGGCATTAGCCCACAGAAAGCCCAAGCAGTTGGTTGTGTCAAAACACACAGCACTTCCTGGAGGTTGCACATAAAAGGACAGCAGAGCAGGGTGGGGGGAACAAGGAAAGGACCCACTTTCATCTCCCATGCGGAGAGGAGGGGACAAGACAGCAGCAGTCCCTTTCAGGGACCTTTGAGAACCCGCAGGTATGAGAAGCCAGGCCATGCAGATCCCAGCTGAATGGATAAACACAGCTGTGTAAGAATGAGCAGGGTTCCTGGGTGCCCCTGAGGAGAGACTCCAGGTGTTACCTTTACTTACAACTCAATGGGAGCTAAGGGCAGAGTGGAAGAACAGAGAACAGCAAAGAAGTGCCTGGAAAAAGAGTAAGAGGAGAGATCCCGGAGCTAGTCAAACCTCAAAGACAGTATCACATGGGAAGCAGCCCGGTGCAGCCAAGTGAAGGATTTGGGGATGCTGGTGGATGAGAAGGTGGACATGTCCTGGCCATGTGTGCTGGCACCCAGAGTCCCCTCCGTGTCCTGGGCTGATCCCCAGTGTAGCAGCAGGAGTGGGGGGATTCTGCCCCTCTGCCCCACTCAGGCAGGACCCCACCTGCAGAGCTGCCTCCAGCCTTGGGGCCCAGCACACGATGGATGTGGGGCTTCTGGAGCACATCTGCATCTCCTTTAGCACCTCTCATGGGCTGACCTAGGGCTGCTGGTGTACAGCCCCATCAGCTGCAGCACCCATCCCGCAGGGAGCTGGGTGGGAGAGGACTCTCCCCCAGGGACTGGAGTTTAAATATCATGAGGCTGGTGCAAGGGGCAACATCCACAGCTGCTCCAGCTGCCAGGACCTGCAGGGCAGCTGTTCTCACCTACACTCTGCTGGCAGCTGTGCTCCAGCTGGCTTCCAACATCTTCCTGCAATGCTCAGCTGGATCTGTCCCTCACACCAGCTCCTTTCCTGGAGAGAGGATTCCCTGTAAGAACAACACAGTGAGCTGCAACTCAGACAAGCCCTAAGTTTTTTCAGTGCCTAAACCCTTTTCTGCTGGGTGGTGCAAAGGAAGTAGAGTGAGCTGAGGAGCAGGGAGACATTGACCAGCCAATTTCTCCTGGTAATTTCTCCAATGACCAGCAGCCCCTGCCTTTGCCTGGAGAACAAGTCTGATGGAGTACTCAGGAAAAGCCACAATTCCCTGCACTGTTCAAAGCTTCCCTTAAAAACAAACTTTACAAATGCCTCCACCTCAAGTTTTTGTTCCCAGATGAGGACGTTTAATCAAAGGACAACAGACTCTACCCTGGTAGGGCAAGGACAACCATGTTTCCTGTGTCACTATTCAGTGCTCTGTTCTCTAAACCAATCTTCTCCCTTTGTCCCAGCCCCTCAGTCTCAACCAGCTGCTCTTCCACAGCTTGGATTAACCAGCTCAGAAGCCTGGGCAGGTACACACACACCAGTGAACATGGGGAACATACATCACATTTGATATACAAGAGACATTGACATGGACAAATGAGATGGGAACAGAACATTCCTACAAGACACAACTTGAATTTATGTTTATTTTATATATATATTTATATATATATATACCTTTGTATAGATTAAACTGGGGGGATTTTATCATATACATTTTTTTGTATAATACATGAGAAACAGGGACAGGAACATAGCAAATATAAATCAGTACATTCCTCCAGTGAACTCCTTGACACACTGAGACTGAAAAATTGCATGCAATGGGGAGATGATAGAGTGAAGGGAAATTAATTTTTATTAGAAAAAAAAAATAAGATAATATAGGTATAACTGTCAACAGAGGAGCAGCACTATAGATGGCAAACCTGTATAAATTAAAAGAAAATTCCACTCTGACACCTACTATGCTTTAAAGTGCAATGAAGCCTGATTTATTTACCTACAGAATACAGGAAAGTTTCCCCCTCTCCCCATTCCAATCTATCCCTAAAAAAAAAAAAACAACCAAACAAACAAACCAATAAAATAAATCTAAAGGATATACATTATCCACAGTCCTATAGAGACGCCTACATCTACTCAGTAGCACCAAGAATCAGATATGGGTGTAATTAAAATCAATTAAAACTCAGGAGCAATGGTAACATCTGTTAGCTGCTTCTGCAGACCTCCTGCCCTTTTATGAGTGCCTGGGGAGAGGTGTCTCTCCCTGTGCTGGGGTGGCTGATGGTGGCCCAGCGGGTCTGTCAGCAGCAGAGCACACAGAGCACAGCGAGAGCAGCGCGGGGACACGGCCAGGCCCCACCTGGGCCTGCATGGCTGGTGGGGTGTCACACACCTGGGCGGGGGCCTGGGGCAGCGGGACTGACCTACACAGAGGGGAAGGGTTGTGCGAGTCCAACACGCGCCACGAACCTCTTTGGTGACAGGAGATGGGGAGGGGAGGGGGAGGAAGGGGGTCAGCACAGCCCCACTCTTGTGAGCCTCTGGCTGTGTTGTCTTCCGAGGCCAGGGGCCTCTGTGCCACAGTTCATCTGTCTCCACATGCCACCTCGCAGCAACCCTCAGAAGCCAAAGGTCTCCTGGGAAGCATAGACCATGTAGAGGAAGCCATCCTCGTCCTTCTCCTGCTCGTATATCTCCGAGATGGGGGTGGACACGCTGACCATGCTGTGCTGGTTCACCAGCAGAAAGAAGGCCTGGGTGGGATTCAGCTGCAAGCGGCGCCTGTGGGGGCAAGTGCAGGAGAGGCAGGGTCAGCTCACCTAGGGCTGACAGCCAGTCCCACCTCCCCAGCAATGCTATTTCTTGGGGCCAGGCCAGCACAGCCTCCTCAGGACCTCCTCCCACCGCTCAGGACATGGTATCCAAGAGTCCAGCTGAGCTGCCCAAGGCTCCAAGGCCTGCTGAGTCAGGATTCCTCAAAGCCCCCTTTCTCCAAGTGCTACTGGCAAGGGCAAAACAGAGAAGCCTCTTCCCTCTGAGTTGAAGAATAAAAAGAGGGGATGGGACCCCTTCATTGCTCCTGTGTGTCCCCTTGAGAGAGAGACTCCAGCCCTTCACAAGGTGCTAAGAACATGCCCTCCCCTGCCCCCCACAATAGTCTGGTACCACACACAAGGATGCTGCAGCTGCCATGTCCCCATCCCTGCCCTCAGCAGCTGCCTCTGCCTCTGCCTCACCACACCACCCTGCAGTGAGTGGCCTGTGGGTGAGGACAGGCCAACATGCCAGCTGAGACCACCCCACTCACCGGATTATTTTGACCAATTCACTCATGTTGACATGGTCTGGGACAAGGAACTTGGTCTTATCCAGCACTGGCAGCTGTTTCTCCCCTTTGTAGCGTTCAATGATGACCTGGAGGGAAAGTCAAGGGTAGGATTAGTCATGTTCATAGTGCCCCACACGCTGGTCCCAAGATCAGACACAAATCCAGCTAGCATGGGTACAGCCCCACTTTGCTTCACCCTCACAGGAAACAAAACAAAAAAAGGACATAGCAGCAACCACCAGGCTGGCTGCAGGCGGATCTTCATCCATCACCTGTGCCTGAGCCAGGCAGTGAAGTGTGTCCAAAACAATGAACTGAAGCACCAAGTGCTCTGGCTGGCTGAGAAACAGTGGGCACCACTGGACTGATACAGATTCTTGTCCTCTGGCAAGCAGGACATCTGAAGAGGAATGACATATTTTAACACTACTTTCTGACCAAACCCACAGGTTTTGCTGGCTTGAGCTACAGATAGCTCATGATTCAGTTTCCTTCCTGTACCATTCAGCATCCCTCTGCCTGCTCAGAGAGCTGCTCCCAGGCAAGCTGTCCCCAGCTTTCAGAAGTCCCAGTGAAGCTACTCAGGCATTCCTTCAGAAAGGAGGCATTTGGATTTCACCAGTCCCACTCCTTATGTTAACAGTCAAACACACTGACTCCAAGAAGGATCAGAAACCCAGGACCACCCCAGCTGAGCTTCCCAGGCACTCCTGCATGGTGTCACCATGGGGACAACCCAGCCCATCTTCCTCTGCCAGACATCTTGCTTGGAAAAGTTCTTACCATCCCTACATTCTGAAACGGCTGAATTATGATTTCTGATCCATTTTCCTGCTATTATAGTTAATGATTCTCTTCTGGGAAGCTGTTTGCTGGCAGCTACAATTGCTGCTCTAAACCAGCTTGGAAAGGTACGTTTTGTATTCTGGGAAACAAAGTGGTAGGAAGTTAAAATAGGGAATGTACTTTTAAGAAAAATGAAAATAAGTGAAGAATATACAGCTTAGTATGTTCCTATTGCAGTAATGTTCTTTCACATCTCTCCAGCAACCTGTTGATTTCCCCACAGAGAGATTCTTGGATACTCATCAGCCCATTATGCTCTCCCCCTGCGACTGAACATTATTTTTCACTATAAGGCAAGGAATTGCCATAATTTATTTTCCCAGGTCCTTTCCTGTGGGAATCCAGGGCTTCCCTCTGGCTGCCCTGGCAGGTCTGGGACCCTGGCTGGGGTCAGGAACCCCCCTGTACAGAGCCCCGAGAGACACTGTCTGTGATCTCTGTCCATGGAGAGGAGTTTTCAATCTTACAGGATGAATTACAAGCTTTGAGTGTTTGATAAGAGTAATAATTAAGTGTGGCACGGGTGCAAAAGTAAAATTTTAGGTTTCTAGATTAGGGGTTCAGAGGGGACAAGATGGAGGAATTGGGTGTGTCTTGTCCTTTTCCTCCTTCCTCATGCCCTCCATGTTTCACTGTGGTGTTGGCATTTTTCCATTGGTTTAGGCTGGGGACACGCTGTTTAATGTAGATGATAGATATTGGTACATGATTGTAAATATAGTACACGTAGTTTCTGGTATATAATGTTTGTAACATCCCACTGGGGGCAGAGCCCCACACGCTGCCCTGCAGGACAGACCTGCGGCAGGGCAGCAGAACATGTTATAGATAAGCAAGAATAAACAACCTTGAAAACAGCACAGATGAATTATGGCTTCTGCTTTGGCAATGGGGCAGAAAGACAGAGACTTTCTACAATCTCGGAATCACCAATACCCACAGATTCCGACACTTTCCAAAGATACTCGAGAGACTGCAATGGCTTTGGCAGCAGAGGGATGGAGCAGCGTGCAGAGAGGAGGATCCCCAGGAGATGGCTCTGTGGAGCCACGAGGACCCGGGAACCTCTGGGAACAGGGATTTCCCTTCCCTCTGATCCCTGCTGGCACATCAGTGGAACTCCTGCCAGCCTCCCCCAGAGGTGGGTCAGACACCCTGGCTGGAACACTGCAGAGTCACCAGCGAGCTGGGGGTGCCTGAGGAGCCCCCTCGGCTGTGGGGCTGATCTGACAGGGCTGGGCTGCAGGCACTTCCTCCAAGAGCTGGGGATGAGGTGCCTTGCTGGGAGATCTGCACCCAAACAGCCTCTGCAGAGCCCACCCTGGACAAATCTCACCCAAGGGCAGCCCAACACCTGGGCTAGCAGCATGTGAACACCAGGTAGCCCTCTTTGGCAAAGGAGGATGTGATTAAAGAACCATTTTCTGCAACGGACTAAATAATGCACTGGGATAACCCCATACCTGTTAACAGCCCTTCATCCCTCCAAGGAGGGCACAGGGAGGACAAGATGAGCAGAACCATCCTATTGCATTTAACTTGAGTCTTACATGGACAGGTGAGTATTTTGGCTGTGGGAAGAGTAGAAGTCTTGAGGGGCTGAACACTCACAACAGCCACATACAAGGATGCTGCTGGGAAACACACAGGCAACAGTGGCCCTTCAGCTTTTTGGTTTGCACGAAGGAGCAGCTACACAGCAGCTGTTTGTGCATCCACCTTTACCTGCAGAGAGGGCCCTGCACACCTGGATGATGCCTCAGTTCTCACAAGAGCAGGACCAGAGGCCAGTGTCTCTCATTACCAGCCGGTTCCATCCCAAGAAGAACCACCTTTAGATTAATCCAAGAATGGGATGCAATGGCTGTCCTGGCTCTTGGAGCAGCAGCTGCCTTGTGCCCTGAGCAGACACAGAGCCTCTCATGTAGAACAACTCCAAGAGTTTCTGTTCCCAGAACATGAACTGCTATTTGGGTAACCCAGCTATGAGAACAGGTGGCCAATGGACAAAACGTTCTTGTCTAGCTCTGGAGGGAAAAGCATGATCAAATGCTAAAGTTACATCCCTGTGGCCACAGGGCGAGTGTGCACAGCCACCTCCCATCCCACATCCTCTTCCAAGCTGCTGCCTTGAGCCAGGGGTTCCTCGGTGTGGGACACCTGTCCTTGCAGAGGGAACCCACCACAGATCTCTGCAGAAATCATGAGTGGGCACAGGTGGGGAGGGGAAACAGGGCAGAGCCTGAAGTCCTGGTCCCACTGCAAAGGGGGCTTGGGCAGTCTTTATAAATACAGCCTTTTTTCTGGGGCCAGTCTGGAGAGATAGAAAGGGGGTTTGGTAGGGAATATGGCCAGATGTGGTGGTCAATAGAGGCAAGGTCCAACCAGGAGTGAGGCTGGGAATGTACTCCCAGCAGGCACAGAGGCTCAAATGTATGTACACAACACCTCCCTTACATCCATGGCCAGGCACAGAGACTGACACAGACACACACAGCACTCACACGAGCACAGACTGCACCAGCCTCACCCTGTCCCCCGCTGGCAGAGCAGGGTGCAGGTCCTTTAGTGGTAACAGGCACAGTAGCCCTCAGTCAAAAAGGTACTCTGCTGTTATCATCCAGCATCATGTCAGTGCAGGACACTGGATCTGCAACTCCCCAGAACAGCCCTCCCAGCAGCCCAGAGAAGGCTGTCCCTTCTTCTGAGTCCATAATTTGGGTTTCCATCCATCCCTGTGCTAGGGCAGGGCATTATGTGGGATCTCCCACCTGCCACTGTGTCTCCGTGCTCCTCTGTGGGTGCTCAGAGGAACTCAACAGAGCCCTCTCTGCATAGCCCAAACTCCCCCTCAGCCCTCCTGCCAGCACCAGGGGTGGCCCTGCCTTCACCCCCCTCTACAGCCCACAGCTCACCAGGCCTGCCTGAATTTAGCATTGCAGGGCTTCAGGAAGTGGTTTGCTCCTGTTGCTGCCCAGCACAAGCTGCTCCCCAGCAATTTCAGAGTCTCTGAGGGTTCAGCCATCTCCAGAAAGATCCCTGGGGCTGAGAGCAGGCAGGGACAGTGCGGGCGACACAGGCTCCCTGTCCTCTAACAGGACAGAAAGTAATTTCAAAAACATATATTAAGGCTGTGGATGGGGGTCCCAGTGAAAAGGCTGGAAGTTCTCTGCTTGCTGTGACTGTCCAAGGAGGAAACGCCCTGTGAGGAGCAGCTGGAGATTTCTTCCCAACAGAGCTGAGTGTGAACAGCCCCTGCTGCCAACACAACCATCTCACCCTCTCAGCAGGCGTGCCTGTGGTTAGCACTTCTACCGGAGCAGGCAGCTCTGGGAAATGCAGAGACAGCAAAGGAGCCCCTGGCATGAGATGGACAGGGCACCTGGCTCCTTCCTATGTCCTTATTACATGTGCCAGGGGGGCATCCTGGGATGTGACTTCCCTTGAAACAGAAGCAAAGAACTCCACATCAGTCCCTTCCTCAGCTTTCCCTTCAAGTACACTCATGGAAACAGGAGAGACGTGCTCTTCCCTGGGCATGCAGCCAGGCCATGCCTTCTGCAAATCCTCCTGGCCCCCTCTCAAAGCAGAAGGGACTCACCCAAGGATTCTGGCTGGAAACTGGAGATGCAGGAGGGCAGCAGGTGCTGCACAGCTTTGCCGTGGCTTCCGTCAGCAGCAAGGGTGCGACCTTGGATCTCCCAAACTCCCCTGGGCTGGGGGCTCAAACCCCTCTGCTAATTCTAAGTGCCTCTCCAGAAAAGCCAATCACTTGGAAAACACAGCTCGTGTCTTTCACAGATGACCAAGACCTTCCTACAGCCATGAGCCAGCAGTGCTTGGACCCATGACAGTGCTCACACAAGGCTCTGATCACTGTCCAGCACTGAAACCTGCCCTGGGAAAGAAGAAAGACAGCACCAAACTGGTGTTGGGGTCTAACGGGAACCAGGCCTTCAGAGACAGCAGTGACACAAACACAGCTGGACCCTGCAAGGCCTTCATGACCCTTCTCACCACCTGATTCTTTTCACCCCTCCAGCAAAACTTGCATTCTGGTGTTGACCCCAACACAAAGAGCACTCCAGCCATGGGAGCTCTCCCACCATGTCTCAGTAATGCCGTGGATGCACAGCTCTGGCTCTTCCTGTCCATTCCCCAAACAACACACATTTGTGTGCAGGCACTTGATACATGCACATGTGTGCATTTTATGTACAAAGCCTGGCCTTAATGCCAGAGCCTGAATGCACTGCAATTAGCTCTTCCACAACTCTGGAGCAATGCAGAGCCAGTCTAATGCCACTAAAACCACATTAAAAGCAGAGTTCAGTCAATGTGCTGATGACCTGGAGTACTGGTACCCAGGGTGCTGTGAGGGTACAGCACTCTGCTGTGAGGGTACAGCTCTGTTGAGCTGGAAACATGTGAACATCATGTGAACACCACAGTTGTGGTGGCAGGAGAGGAGAAGAAAGAATCCTTCTGGCTAGAAGACACTGTGCTAAAAACAAAACAAGAGTGAGGCAGAAGTGGTCTAAGATAGGCCAAGAGCAGTTTGAGACATTCACTCTTGAAGGCCAAATACTGATAATCTACAATTTTAAGACAAGGTTGACATTCATCCAACACTGAGAGGGAGATGAACTAGGAATCCTGTCTTTTTGGTCATAGATGCTGTGATATAGCAAATAGTAAGTCGAGCAAGCCCCAAGTACATAATTTCCTAGAATCAAGGAATGGTTTGGTTGGAAGGGACCTTAAAGGTGAGCAGGGACACCTTCCACTAGACCAGACTGCTACCAGCCCTGTCCAACTTGGTCTTGAACATTTCCAGGAATGGGATGTTCCTCTAAGTTCTCCGTCTTCTCAGGAAGAAAGGCAAATACTCAGGTAGGAACTCAAAAGCACACTCACAGCCAAGGAGGAACTCAGCATATTAGGAGTGACATGGGCAGGAAGAACAGGTTCATGGTGTCTCACCTGTGCCTGTCAGCTACAGGTGCTGGGACAGCACAGAACGGGTATGAATGATCCTAAAAGAGACTCTGTGCTTTCAGATGCTTTCAGACTCTGTGCAGCAAAGATCAGCCCACACATCTTTCTGTGGGCAGATAAATCCTTACCAGGTTATCCAGGAAAAATCTGGTAGTTACAACAGCCAAAAGAAAAGCCATTTTAGAGTTTTCTCCTATTGCACTCAATTGGAAATAGATTTGAGATGAAATCAATCCCCTGGCTCCAGGGCAACATGGAGCTTTAGAACCAGACTTTGCACTGCAGAGAACACGTCTGCTATTGAGTAGCTGGCACACACAAGGCACTTGAGGCTCATGGGGACCATCCTGCATTGATTCCAGGGACCAAAGTTTTGCAAGCTTCATGGAGGCCACCCAGGAGCACAGAGGGGTCCCGAGAACAAAGTCTGACAGAAGAGTGAGAACAATTCACTTACCGGGATTTTGTTTGGATGCTGCTCTCGGATCTGCTGCACTTCTTTACAACGATCCGCTGGAGAGAAAGAAGTAAAGAATAAAGTTAGAAACACCTGTGTGTGGCAGGCAGAACTGAGGTACCCACCCTGCAAGCCACAGCCTGACCTGCAGAGAGGGACATTTCCCAAGGAATGCACGTTCTGCTCACCAGGCCTTTTCTGAGCATGGTCTGCCAGATGCCAGCCTCAGTGACCAACCCTTCATGCTTCCTACTGCCCCAACCACCCCACAGGCTGGGACACACCACTCTGCCTGGTAGCACTGGGCAGCACACCTGGAAATCAGGAGAGTGAAAGGAGACCGTGAAGCTAACAAAACTAACTTAAACCACCCTAAGCACATGCAGCTCCTGGCAATGGGTGTGGGGCAGCAGCACAGCTTGGGGGGCTGTGCTCTGCAAGTTCAGGCTCGTTGTGTCTCCTGGATGCTTCCTCTATGGAGACAATTCTCCAGCTGGGGCTGGGTTTTAGCCATTTCCTTCTGCCTGTTGCGCATTTCCAGGCACTCCCTGGCACAGTGCCTGGTTCCACAAGAGCTGCACTCGCCAAGGAGGACTCCTGCCCTAGCACAGACCTACAGAGCAGCTGCAACAGCTCTTGGCCTGACAGAAAGTATTTCTAGGCCTGAAGGCAGGAAGAAAACCTTAAGCAAGGAGATGACCCACATACAGATTTTTCCTGCAGTTGTTCTCACACTTTCTATTCCTTTTTCCTCCGAAGTTTATGGACACACACAACAGGCAGCACACAAAGCTTGTACAATCTTCCAGTTTATTGGAGAATTCCCATACCCCTCACTGCTTTACCCGAGGGCTCTCCTCTTTCCACAAGCCAAAGCAGCAGAAAGCAGAGGAAGAAGCAGTACCAGAGCCAGGTAAGGCTCTGTGCATGCTCCTCCTGGGATGTTGCAGACCTGCCCTCCTCCTGGGACTGCCACTACTCGGGGAACTGCTTCACAGCCTACATCTGAAACACCCAGAAACTAAGCCAGGGAGTGAAGGTCAGTGACTAAGCACTGCCTAGAAAAGAGATCTGGGTATTGCAGGATCTTCACAGGATCATCCCAGCACTGGCTCCAGCCCGACTCCCCTCACCAGCTTACACAGCCCCAGTTCCCCATGGCCCACTGGGATAATGGAAGGATAAATGCATGTGTCTGAGTGTTTTCTCCTCAGAAACTTTGGTAATTTCTCCTCCGAGCACTCTATAAAACCTTATTGCTTATATGTTGAATTTGGCTAGATACGACTTTGGGAAGAAACTAGAGTTCCTTTAAAAGCTGTAAGGCTACAAAATCACCAGATCATAGAAAGTTTTGTGCACCATTTCTGCCTCCTCTGAGAGGAAAATATCACTCTGCTAGGAACCGTTAGATCTTTTATTCTGTAGGACTCCATAGGCAAGCAACATAGAGCAAGATTATTTGGATTTCATGAAAAATTCAGGCATATTTGTTTTGGGTTTTATGACTGAACATGCAGCTTCTCATGTTTCCTTTTCATCCGACCCAGTGCTCTAGGGATCCAGAGTCATCCTTGTGATAGAGGCAATTTTCCCCTGAGGTACCAATCAGCCAGGGAGTCACACAGATATCAGCAGCACATGTGACATGGTACAGAGACACCTCCCTGGGAATGCTGAAGGACACAGTGCCAGCAGCACCCCGCCCACATCACCCAGCTGCAGCAGAAGCAGCTGCCCCTTCCCACAGAGCCCCATTTCCACATGTTCCCTTGTGTCCAGAATGAAGCATCCAAAAGGCTGGAGATCCAGAGCTCAACTGGACAACATTGATCACCTTGGAAATTCCAGCAGCTTGACTGTCACCAGCTCAGACTTCTGGGTGTTAACGGAGCCTGCAGAACTGCGTCCTCACGTCTGGCCAGTCATTCTGGCTTCAGTGTCCACCCCAGCCTGCTTCTCTCTCCCTACTATCAGATTGCCATGTGCATGAGCTTCCTAAACACCATGAGCTGCCCTGCAAGGTCACAGGGCTGTTTGCACAGGAAGCCCCAACAATGCAGGTAATTGTACGAAGAGTCAGAGAAGGAATTGCTGAAGGCATGTTATCATGGCTAGTAAATGAAGATAATCTTGGAGCATCTAACTAGCCCAGGCTGCATGTGCCAAAGGGCAGGCACATGCCAGACATCCCGTCCTGCTCCCTGGAAGCATCATCAGCTACAGCAGGTGACACAAGGCATCACCACCTTCATTTACACAGTGAGAATAAAGGTGCCTCCTGCCCATTACACTGAAAAAGGTGCCACACAGAGAGGAAGAGGATCCATCATCACTCCAGCTGCACATCAGTGCCTCAGGATCCCACCCCTGGCACCACAGTCCTCTGTCCCCCACGGGGAGCAGGTAGGGTGCCTTGGACAGAGGTGGCTGCTGCAGAAAGATCCTTCTAGGTCTTGCTGACTCCATGCTCAGGAGGAGTCAAGGGCACAACACCAGTGACAGAGCTCCCACCTACCCTCAAGTCTGCTGGGCCACAATGGAGCTCCCCTGTCCCACCCTTTAAAACCTGCCACATGCCCAGGACCTGCTCCCTCTGGCCAGCAGAACCCGGGGCATTCACAGCCTTCCTGACCTCAGGGGACCCTGTGGCAGGAGGCTGATCTGCAGCTGATCACAGGGGAATGGCAGCAGGTGCTGCTTTATTCTGGGGGCTGCTGGATCCCTCCAGCAGATCCATGGATTGCAACTACAAACACCTCAAGCACTGCACTTCTTCCTCTGGCCTGGAATTGCTCACTTCAGAAACTTCTTTCAGGAAGGCACTTGGGAGCAATCCCACCCAAGGCGCTCAGGTTCCTGAATCGACAGGCAGAAGTTTCCAGGATACCTAGAGCACTGCTAAAGAGCACACTCTGTCTCATCCTAGCCTTGGAGAGCCAAGGAAGCAGGCTTGGCAATCAGGAAAAGCTGCATCAATCCCTGGGTGATTTCTGTGCACACGGGAATTCAGGCACAAGAGATCTCCACCAAGAGATAAGTGATGGTCACCCACACCCTCCTCAGCCTGGGATGGGAGCCAGAGGTTGAGCCTGTGACTCATGAAAGCATCAACATCACACAGCAGGAACAGCTATAAATACCAGCCTTAATTCAGTGTCTATACAGTCTAATCTAAGTCACAGGAATACAGAGAAAATGGTTAAAGGGCACTTCAGAGAAACCTGGCTGGAGCCCCCATGGTGCTGAGGACAGGCAGGATCCCCCCACCCCAGCACCTGCAGTGTTTGCACACTCACATTCATACACAACAGGCCTGATCTTACAAGCTTTATTCTCCTCCTGCAGCTCTCCCAAACTGCGCTGAAGTTGAGACTTTCCCCTTCCCTGCAGCCCCCGGCTACAGTTAATCCTTAGCCAATGCACAGAGCAAACCAGAGCTGTTTACACAGCCCTGTCCCCATCCATGTTCTCCTCCCTGGTCCCTCCTCGCTGCCAGGGCAGCAGAACACCACACCTGACTGCAGCAGCTCAGGGGCTCCACACAAGAGGGGCCAGAGGGGCTCCAGCCTCCTGCTGCTCCAAGGAGCTGAGCAAGGAGTGATGACCTGCATGAGAGGGAAGAGACCCACCCCTGCTCCAGCTGTGGGCACAGCTCTGCCATGAGGAAAGCCAGACTTCTCCCCAGTGCCAGGACGTCAGATCTCAAGATGGCAGCAAGATAAAACCCACACATTGGTTATTCCCAGGGAAACTTCTCTGCTAGGGCCTATTGAAAGATAGGAGTATTTTTGTAGCATTGCATATGCTGGGAAATTTCTCTTCCAACTGCTGTTTCAACTGTTAAGTACCAACAGCAAAGCTTGCAAATTGCCCAAAACACCAGAATCTTGGCTGTTTTCTTGACTGAGGTCCTTCCCAAGCTGTGCTCCAAAAGATGCGAGCACACAGTGTATCCCATGGCAATGCAGGATGAGATCATTGTGGCAGTTGAGAACAGTGGAAAATTTTAAGCCACACTTTGCAAACATGAACCTTTTTTATCAGCAGTGCCCAGGAACCCTGGCCACAGGAGCCAGGTCCCTGCTGTGCTGGGTGCTGTGCAGACACGGGAGGAAAGGACAGTCCTGGATGCAAAAGTGCCTCAGCAGACAAAAGATACAGATGGTGGGACAGAAGGAAAACACATGGCAAGTCCTCCAACAGCGCTGTTGCATAAGGGGCACCATTTTTCAGGAGATTCTAGACAAGCACTGCTCAGGCACTGGTGCTGCCCCAAGGCAGCAGATGGGTGATAGGGAAAGGCCCTGCTGCCTGTGACCAGCAGGAATGCTGTTAGGAAAACACCAGTAAGAATAAATACCACCTGGAAACGTCCTCAGCGCGCTGCCAGATAAACAGCTCCTGAGCTGGACAAGGGCTGTGTGCGGAGAGCAGAGACCAGAAATGCATCCATGCCTCTCCCTGTGTCCCACAGACATCCCTGGCACCTCCAGCAGGCTGCTGGCCCTGTGGCTCCTTCCTGCCATCCACACAACACCCTGCCAGCCAGCCCGGAGAGGGATATGCCTAAGATTTGAAGCAGATGCAAAAATGAACATGTTTCTTCAAGAAGCTGCTGTGGTCAGTCCCAGGGCAGAGTGCTGCTAGAGCATGGACTTCTCTCCAGGAGATTTTCTGCCAGGAGAGGAGGAATTGGATGGTTTGAAATGAGGATGCGTGTGGGATGAGCTGGCAAGTCCTGGAGATACAGGCCAGCTATGCAGGTCATTCCAGATGAACATCAATGACTATTTCTGTAATATCACACCACCCTAAGGCCAGACACTTCTAAACACCAGGAAACACCCAAATTTGTGAGTGTGTCGTGCCTCAGCCAACAGATCTGACCTGTCCTTGCCCAGTGCTCCATGTCAGGCAGGAGTGACAGGAGACCCCCACATCCAGGAAGGAAGGAGGTTGTGCTCAGGGCAGGTTTCCTCAGCACCCCAGAGGGTGCTTGTCCCAGGTTACATAGGAGCAGTGCAGAGACCTGACAGTGCTTCTGATTCTCAGGCTGATTTTGTCTGTCTGCAAATGTGGATGCTCCAGACAGGACAAATGACTCAGGACCAAACCTACACTGCTCTGAACCTAAAAGGTTTGAACTGATAAAAACATATCTCTGCATCACAGAATAGGTAGAGCCATAAACATGGAGCAGTGGATGCTCTGTCTTCATGACTCTCCACCCCATCACTACAGCTGCAATACTAGATGTGCAGTGTCTGGGAGGATTTCATAATGCCAAGTTCTTGGGGCCCTGTCACTACAGGTCTCAGCACCTTATGCATTTGCAAAAAATTCCCAATCTTCCTGGCTCCAGAACAGAGCCTGAAAATGGATTTTTAAACCCAAAGAGAAGACACCTTCATTTTTTCTTAGTATAAAAATATAATAGGAGTATGATTTTGAGCCTGGCTCCGGGAATGAGCATTTGCATCTGGCAAATCATGATAAGGGCTCTGCTCATGATCAAGCAGAGCCACACCACAACTGTGAACTCTAAATACATGTCAAGTCACTTGTCCTCTGGTTGTGCAGTACCACTGGAGTGACAGGATAAGGCAGAATGGCATTAAACTGAGAGAGAGCAGGGTTAGATGGAATATTGGGAAGGAATTCCTGGCTGTGAGGGTGGGGAGGCCCTGGCACAGGTGCCCAGAGAAGCTGTGGCTGCCCCTGGATCCCTGGGAGTGTCCAAGGCCAGGCTGGATGGGGCTGGGAGCACTCTGGGATAGTGGAAGGTGTCCCTGCCATGGCAGGGGTGGCACTGGATGGGCTTTGAGGAGCCTTCCAAACAAAACCAATCTGGGATTATGTGATCCACCCCTGCCACTGCCATGGGCCGTGTAGGATGAGCACCGGACCTCCAATCACCCAAACAGCTTAAAACTCACTGCACCCTCTGAGCATGAGGGGGAAACGGGCAGCACCTTCTGTGTCATGTCAGGATGGTAAACAGAGTATTTACATCACAGTGTCAGATAAAGAACTGGTTTTTTGCTCAACATTTAATCACAGTTTCACTATCCTTGGTAAAGGAACAGCGAGTTCCCTCTGTACAAGCCCTTGGGAGGCTGCCGTGCCAAGGCTTCCCTCTGCCTGCTGCGTGACCTTCTACCTGGACAACCTTCCCATCCATCTCCAAGACAGCAGGAACACACTCAGATTTCTCAGAACTACTCAGGACACTTCAAACCACTCAAAGAAAGACCTGGCACTGCTGGCAGGACTGTATTTTGGTGCAGCCCACATTGCACCTGCAAGCACCAAGGGCCTTTGCCCAGCACAGTTCACTGCTATTTGTGCACAAACAGGCCTGGACATGCACAGGTGCTCTGGGGACATGTGCCAGACACCAGAGTCTTTAATTCATTCCTGCATTTTCTCTCACAACCTTAAACCACCTTCTGAGGACAAAAGGCAGCAAACAACACCATGACAGAGCTAGTAGTGTTTACACACTCCCAGTCAACCACAGAATGTCACCCGAGCAGGTGACACCCTGTGCGACCTCCCAAGTGACTCTCTGACTGTGATCCCTGCTGGGACTGACCACAGAAGGAACACCAAAGCCAAGGGACATGACTTATCCATGGCTCATGGCTACTCAATGACAGAGGTGGCAAGGGCCTACCACCCTGACAGCCCCTGGATTCACCAGTCTCCACCCTTCTGGCTCAAAGGAAGATCTGAAGTTTTTATAGTGAAAAAAAAAAAAAGTAATGAACAAAACACACAGGTTTTATTATTCCTGGCTGCCAGTCAGGACCTTGTGTTATATAAAAGAATAATAATAAAAACATCAAAATTTGTGGTCTTCATGTTAGTCTGACTTTTGCTCTGGAAGCCTGTTCAGTTCTTCAACATTGATAATTACCCCTACATCCAGTCAAGTCACAGAATGTCCTCAGTAATTAATCTAAGACACAGGCAGCTAAGCAGCAACTTGGAGCAGCATCCTCCTCTCAAGGAATCCCAGCTCTCAAAGCACAACTGCCAGAGCACAGACACCCAAGAACCAGCCAAGGACCAGCAAGGGCTCACACACCGATCTCGCATCAATATCCAGATGTTTTTCCAAGCCACCAAGGAGCAGAACTGTTGTGATAAGCACAGAACGGTGTGTGAGGCAGACAATTCAGCCACTACTGGTCTCTCAGTGGTACAAGCACAGCTGGCTCGTGCTGGATGAGTCCCCAGGGATGCCAATCCCCAGAGCCAACACGGGATTTGCTCCACACCCACCACTGCGTTTCCTCTGAAGAGGAGTGGCTTCCCACAACCAAAGGCAGATCTCCAAGAGGATGGAACCTGGGATGGGAACACTCTGTCCACAGAGGCTGAGGTCAAACCTCTGTGTTTGTCACCAAACCAGGGACTCCAGCTGAGCCAGCAGGCACCTGCAGGTGTGTTCCTGCCTCTGTTACTGCCAGACACGGGGGCACAGGACCAAGGTGCTCTGGGTCACCTGGCTGGTCCAGGATCCAGGCCCATGTCCATCACCACACTGGTTTTGTGCTGCACTGAAAACACAGCTGGCAGCTGCTGCCAGCCCGATGCAAACCCCACTTCAGGAGCAGTGGGACAATGCTCCCAAGGACCCGTGTTCCTTTTGGGATGTGCAACTGTGTCATCAGGCTACTGCACACTCTCACTGCTGCCAGGACAGCCTGTTCCTCTGACACAGACCATAGCTTTGTTCTGGGAATTGTTTTGGACTCCTGCAACAGATCTGAACATGCCTCAGCCTCTGGGTTCAGCACATGGATGCAGAGGGTGCTGCCACATCTTACCCCCTGCACACACAGCAAGGACGTTCTGCTGCCAAGCACCAGCTCACAGAGCTCACCTGCCCACCAGGGACAGCACCTGAGATCACGGGAGGAGTCACTGCTCTGTGCCCTCCACACACCTTGGATCAAACCCCTGGTGTTTCACAGCCAGTCCCCTTCTCAAGTCCTCAAAAATGATGAGGAGAAATCAGGAAATTTTACTCAGGAGAGACCCAAGACCAAGCAGTTGAACAAACCTAAAAAATTCACAGAAAAATTCCAAAAATACAAGAAGGGGGGAACACAAGCATTGAGGAAAGCAGAATCTTCACTGAGAAGCAGCAGCCCAAGACCTAAGGCAGCCACTTGCCATGAAACTGGAGCCTGTGTGCCTTTTGTAAACAGCCATAGCCCTGACTCTGCCTTTTCACTGCTTTTTTGGAACCGTTCCATTTCTGTAAAGTTTTGAAGCCTTAAAAATTAAGCCATTCTGAGAGTATTGAATCACTGGAGATGTTTTCCACTAGCCCTCTCCAACTGCATTGTAAACAATCGCTTCCTGCTCCTGTTGTGTAATGATTCAAAGACAAAAACAAGCCGTATTTACTTTCTCCAACAGAGTAATTCCAGCCCTGACCCAAAGCAACTGCAGGGGCTGCCAGGCGTCCTCCTCCTTCTCTCCTCCTGGCTCAGCTCTGCAGCCCAGTCAGCTGAGAGAGCAAAAGGGCAGAGGAAAGTACAGAGAAACAAGGAGCACTTGCAGTTGCCGGCACCAAACTCCCTTACCCCCTCTGTCCCTCCCAGGCTATTTTAATCCTGCTTTCTTTCAACTACTCTGAGCCTCAGATTTTGTTTTCCCTCTGGCTCAAAGAAAGTCTGAGCAATCCACAAAGGCAAACCAGTCTCCTCTTAACCATAATAAGCTGATTCTCACCAACTTAACAGTAGGTAGTTACTAAGGGGCCGATTTAGGACTTTACTGGTTTTAATACATAGCTTAGGAGAACACATCAGGTTCCCAGCAAGGATCCCAAGCTCCCAGGCTTCAGCTGGTTCTTGTTTGTGCGTGTTCCCTTGGCTCGGTCCTGTGGCAGGGGAGGACTGGGTAAGCATTCAAGGCCAGAAGGGTTGTGCCAATAAAATACCAAATATTTACAGTTTCCAAGAGAGCAGCAAGGGGCTGGATCAGCAGCTTTCAGCAGGCAAAAGCTCCAATTTTAAAACTCATGTAGCAAACGCCCTCACCTGCGTTTGGACAATCTCTGGCACAATATGAGGTTTTTTTATGGCATGAAAATACCGATTTCAGCATTATACAGCGAGTAAAGTTCAACTGCTACCCCCTCCCCAGAAATTTAACCTGCCAGAAACAGACACCTCTCCCTGCGCCAGCCGGCAAAGGTCAAGGGAAAACAGCAGTTGGTGTTTCCTCGGATTCCGCTATCGGGTCTGGAGATAGAAATCTGGGACTTTCTACAGTCACCTCCTCACAGACCTCTTGACAAAGGGGTGGGGAGGATGGGAGCACTGACTCCTCTGTCTCACAACCATCACAGAGGCCGTGCGACATCCTGGAACAACAACCGCCCCAACGCCGACCAGATGGGGAGCGCGGAAGGCGATTTTTGGGGAGCTCTTTGTGTTCTGACAGTCAAAAGGGACACGTGGCCATCACCGTCGCCCCACGGCCCTTTGCGCCCCGGTGTCCCCGGGAGAAGCGGGCACGGCCCGGGGACATCGCAGCGCTCGGGCCGGGCGCGGTGCGGCCCCCCCGGTGCGGGGCCGGCCGGATGACATCACCGCGCGGCGGCTGCGGCACCACCGCCCCCGGCCGGGCCCCGCGGCTCCCGCGGCCGCGCCCGGGGGGACCCGCGGCGGCCGAGCCCCGGCCCGGGCGGGGCCGCCCCGCAGGGCAGCACGGCGGGGGCGGCGCAGGGCACATCCCCACGTCCTTCCGTCCTTCCGTCCGTCCGTCCCTCCCTCCCGCGCGGCCGCTCCCGGCCGGTCCCGGCTCACCGAAGGTGCGGCGCTGCTTGAAGGGCCGGTCCGAGGGCATCGCGGCGGGACCGGGCGGCACCGGGACCGAGCGGCACCGGGACCGAGCGGCTCCGTCTGCGCTGGGGCTGCGGCGGAGCGGCGGTGACGTCACGGCGCACCGCCCGTGGGGCGGAGCTCGGCCCGCCCCGGGACCCCGGAGCCCGGCCCGCCCCGGGACCCCGCAGCTCGGCCCGCCCCGGGACCCCGGAGCCCGGCCCGCCCCGGGACCCCGCAGCTCGGCCCGCCCCGGGACCCCGGAGCTCGGCCCGCAGCGAGCCGGGGCACGGGAACCGCGGAGCCGCTCCCCCGGTGGGGCTGGAACGGGCCCTACAGCCCGGCCCGCGCCGCCCCTGCCATGGCAGGGACGCTGCCACTGTCCCAGGCTGCTCCCAGCCCTGTCCCACCTAGCCTTGGACGCTTCCAAGGATGGGACAGCCACAGCTTCTCTGGGCACCCTGTGCCAGGACCTCAGCATCATCACGGAAAAATTCCTTCCCAATATCCAATCGAAATCTCACCTCTTTTGCCTAAAACTATTCCCTCTTGTCCTATTACTATCTGCCCCTTTCTTTTTTACAAGCCGCAACACGGGAGGGAGCAGCTGGTGACACGAGGATGGCCGTGACACGAGGAACACCAGGGCAGAGCATCCCCATTTCCCGACGGGACATGGTGCTTTATTCAGAGATGACCCCAAACACAGGCTTTTTTTCCAGTCCTGATGGAGCAGAGTACCTGAGGGCCTTGCTTAAGGCAGCAGAAGGACACCTGGGCTGGGATTTCCAGAGCTCCTCCAAAGACAGAGGTGTCCGTGACTCCGGCCTGCGGTGGCATCTTCTGGACATCTTCACTAAAACATCTTCCAAGTATCACTGCCAGCTTTGGGTAGCAAATGTGGCTGTTGTGAGAAGGGTGGAGAAGGAAGGACTGTGTGGGGATGAAGCCACAACAGCTCAGACCATATTCCAGCCAACAAACCTGGACATAAACTACTTTCTCACAGATACTCTGACATTTGCGATTCCCACATCTACCCCAATCATCTCTCTGCTAACGAGCCCGTTGTTTTCCCTCCTGCATTCACAGCCATGGCTATGCTGAATATATTAAAGCCTGCAGCACAACTACAAATAGGGCAGCTATTTCTGGAGCTGATAAATGAATCAAAAACAACTGCAAACAGAGCGTCAGTATTTCACCAGGTCTAATATCCCTCCTCACTGCACGCCACAACAGGAGCTGTATCGTGTGGAGCAATGTCTCATTGCTACAGTGAATTGGCACAAAACAGGAGCAAACACAAAATGTTAAAGGATTAAGTACAACCTTGGTAAAAAAAAACCAAAAACATGAAAAATGCAGTTTTGAAAGAACTGCTCCAATTATTGTGTCACCAATTTAAACAAATACATGTTTAATGAGAATTGAAGAAATTCTTGTTTCCTTGCTGGGTTTACCCAAGAAAGAAAATACTTTCATGCTCAATATAATGGATTTTCCTTGACCAAGTAGTAGTTAAACAAGCACATACTGGTAAGGAAGTAAAAACTCTTCAGATTCACTTCCATAATTAAGATACAAGTAAAGATATTAATCTCTCATATAGGTCCTGTTAAAAAGAGAATACTGAAGGGAAAGCAGGAATGTTGAATCAGACATGGCAAGTGATGACCTTTACAGACTTCATCCTCAGCAATGGGACTTGTTACTGTTGCTATAAAGTGTGAACCTCTTTTCAATGAGACGAATGTGAAAGTCTTTCCAATTTCATGATGTGGCCCCTGGTTTTATCCATGCAGACCTCACTGCAGGACTGCGGCCATAATTCCACAGAAAATTATTCAGACACCTGGAAAGGGAGAAAAAACTCCATTTCATAGGAGCTCTGGAGCTTCTCAGCATGTTAGTGTACCTCCAGAAATGGGATATGGATCAAATAGTTTGATTTAATTTATACACTTCTTCCTTCAGCCCTCAGCTTCCTGAACAATTCAGCATACATTAATGCCCCTCTTGCCTGGTTTTACTGATGTCCCTGGCAAAACTCCTTATTTAAGGAGGTGCATTTGAGATCCAACCCCCTTCTCCCCAGATCAGTCAAAGGTTTAAGGCACCAGTGAGCTGTCCTAACATGACCCGGAATCGACAAGGATCTTCCCGCATGCCAGCATTCCACAGTGCAGCACCACTAAAAACAAGCACTCCTGGATCTTGTGAAACCAGGGCAGTGAGGGAAATCTCCCTGAAGGAATCCTGTAATCCTGGTAAAGGCAGTGTATTTTTGCCAACAGAATTGTGTTGGTGCCCAGGCTCCTGCTGGCCAAGGCAGTGCCCAAGCTGCTGCCCCTGCACCCCCAGCTGCTTCTGCTTCTCTTGCAGCTGGTGGGTCCCAGGAGCTGCTGTAGCTCTGCTCGCTTTAGCCCAGCCTCTCTTGGTGTGAGATCTTTGCCTTTGTCCTCTAGAGGAGTAGCTAAGACAGACGAAACATAAATCAGAGTGGTTTAGGTTGGAAGGGACCTTAAGTCTCATCCAGTCCCACCCCTGCCCACACCTTCCATTATCCCAGGTTGCTCCAAGCCCTGTCCAACCTGGCCTTGGACACTTCCAGGGATGGGGCAGACACAGCTTCTCTGTGTCCTCTATGTGAAGGACACTGTCATCAGCCACCTTAGGCAGGGGAGGAGTTACTTGGGAGGGTTCTGGAGCCAACACAAATCCACAGAAGGTGTTTACAAGCTCAGCTTTTACAGTTACCTCCACTCCTCTGTCAGAGCCTTATCTCAGCACAGAGGTAGCACATCCTTGGGTCTCAAGTGCTGCCCTTCCCAGCCCAGAGCCATGCCCCAAACTCCCTTTCATTACCTTGTTAATCCATCAGGGTTTGTTTTCCCAGCAGCAGATGTTTCCTCAGCCTTCGACAGGGATCCACCAAAACCAAAACTGACTTTTCCAAGACAGCAAACCAGGCCAGCCCCAGCACAGAGCAGCTCCAAGATGCAGGTGGCATAGGCTGCTCAGGCTTCCTGTGATCCTGGCTAGGAAAAAGGACTAGAACCATAATGCTAATTTTTCTCTCTTCCTCAGTTTGGCAGTAGTTTTACCATACAAATAACCAGGCCCAGACTCACGAAGCACAGGACCAGAAACTGAGCTCCATCCTTTTTTTTGGCCCTGTTTGTGGTAATGTAGGAAAATGAAACCCTTCCCTGACTTTCATACATGGAAATTGCTGACAGCTCTGTGACTCTCTAATGGTCCTAATCCAAATAAACTTCAGTTTAGTTTATTAGTTTAGTTACTATTTAGTTTAGTTACTTTGTTCCATAGTAAGTAAATGAAAGTTGTTGTTCTTCAGCTTGCTTCACCTCTTGCCAGTTTTAAAAAATAAATCTGAATTAATTTTGGGTGCTGGTGTAAAGGTGGCACTACATGGCCTAAGTAAGGCCCTGCCCAGATCGATCTGACAAACTCCTTGACTCCAAACCCAGCTTAAGAGCCTTTCATTCAAATTCCCAAGTATATTTCATGCCAGGCTGCTCTCAATCCTGAGAAAAACCCCCTAACCAACCCTCAATCCTCCAACCAACCAGCACATAGCAGGAGTTCAGTCATTTCACTGCAAGTTTATGATCTCAACACAACAGAAAAGGGCCATGATCTTTTGTTTTGCAATAGGTTATTTATTACAGCTTGTTTTACTTAAAACCAACACTCAATACTCTCTGTCCCAAGCTACTGTGACACCAAGCTACTGGTAGGACAGCTATCATTAAGAAGTGTCCAAAAGAATGCAGGACACTGCAGATTTTTCACTGTTCGGAGAAGTAGCACTGCCACCTACTTGAGAAAGCCAAAATCCATAAGCAGGTCAACACCTCCAAGGAAATATTTCTCTGGGTTACAAACAACAGAGAGAGATCACTGAGGTCACATTTTTCTTCTGCCTTGCCTCACTGTTCAATTAGCCAGACTTCAGCTTGCTGGAGGTAATTTTTTTGGGAGGCAGCATACAATTATTGCAGATCAAAGGCATTATGTAAACTGCTGCATATCAGGAGCTGCTCCAAAGGCCAGCAGGATTCCAGACCCCATTCCCTGTTTTGATGGAATGGCTTAAACCAGACCTAATGTAAAGGGAGAAGCAGCTCATGAACAGCAACACCCAAGACTGAGTCACGGGGGCAGCTGGGACACCCAAAGCACTGATGCTACAGGGCTACAGACCCCAACAGGCATTTCTGACCTTCAGGGTCATGGACACCACCTAGCACATTATACACAGTCCAAAAATTCATGTCCAGGTCTGAAAATGCACAGAGAAAACCCTAAACATGCAGGGTACCTTGGCTGTCTGAATCTTCCCACACCCACCCTTCCTGGGGCTCTGAAAGCCACAAGTGCCCAACTCAACACCAACATTTTTACCAAAATCTCCACAGCTGCAGTCACCATAGCATTCTCCAGCCCTGCTTTTTGTTTTTTTTTTTTTTTTTCCCTGAAGAAAAACTCCACCAAAATAACCCCTTGAACATTTTGGAGTAACCATGTGGGGATTTTTTTTTATCTTTAATGGCAACAATTGAAAAATACTAAAGGAGAATACGAGATCAAGCTGGCTACTGAGCTGAGACAGTGTGAGATTTCCCATGGTGGCCTCAATGGCCTTCCTTAGCCATGAAAATTCTGTCTGGAGCAGAAAGTGGCAGGAAAACACTACAAGAGCCAATTGTGAGTGAACTACACATGCCAAATCCTTGTTCAGAGAAAGTAACAGACAAACAAAAACAGTCCTAGGAAGGTTCTGTTTTTTGAAGAAAATCTCAATCAATCATGAGAAAACTTAAAATCTTCAGAAGAAAAACACGCAAGACAAAACCAGTTACTGGTGACACTTTTTAATTTCTTATGGCCAGACATTTTTGAAGTAAAACCAACAAAGTAAGACAGACAGTCTATTAGAGGACTAGAGGACAGGCAGCCATATTTACAGCCATTCAAAGCCAAGAGTGTAAAAGCAGAGCTCAGTGGTGAAAGAAGCGCAGAAGAATACAAAGAATAGTATTTTTTTGGTTATTATTAGAATTTTATTATATTATCTTAGCTATTAAAAGAATCTGTTGCATTTTTTACTGCCCAATTCCAACTCACCAGCTCCCACTCAAAATGACTTGTGATACAAAAAGCAACATTTTTTCTTTTTGTAGACAACAAAACCACCTGCTTTGATTTTCCCAAACCTTACTGAAGAGTCATAGCACAGTTAACACTAATGCTCTATCCTTTACCATTAAATAAAAAATAAAACAGGCAAAAGGAAAAAACTGGACTGAGTCAGTGTAATCATTCAGTTGGATTCTGGATGACAATCAGGAAATAGTCTTTATCTGGAGAGGAAAAAAAAAGAAAATTATTCTTTCACTGCTGGTATTTGTTCACAGAAACACTAAGTTCCAGCATTTTCATATCTCTCTGATGCGCTGTGGGAACTCCAGAGCCCTCACATTCATTCTCAATGAGCAAAAACAGGCTCCAAGTGTCAGATCATTTATATTATGGGTTTTACGGAGAAAAACTCTCAGCTTTAGAAACTGCATGTTCCCAAGGCAGCTGACTTTAACCCAGTTTGTGCCAGGAAACTACAGTAACTGGCACGTGCCACACTGGTGCAAGGTGGCCACTGCCTTTTCTCTCACAGGTACACTGGGGGCCACAGTCTTTTTTCTGGAGCAATGCTTATTCCTCTTTCCATCCTTCCTGTGGAAATCTGAGGCTGCCTCAGCACGAACCAGAGCCTGTGTTAAGATCTGCCATGGCCCATGCCTGCCATGGGGAACTGCCATCCCCTTCGTGGCCTCTCCACCAGCCCCATCCCAGCAGGGAGCACTCAGGGACAAGGCTGAATTCCTGCCACATGAACGACCTCCACTCATCTCGCTGCTTCCCAGTTTGGAATTCAACAAAATACTGAGGATGTTTCCTGAAAAGAAGGTTGCTGCTGCTCTATACCATGACTCATGATTACAGCTACAGTGTGCTCTAATACTTTTCCCAGAACTGGAAAGTCAGGACTGTCTTTTTTATCACTCAGTCCACAGTTCTGAATGGAAATTGCTCCCAGAATGTATTTCTTTCCAAATCCTAGGGTTTTATACTGAAAAGCAAAGCATGAGAGGGTGCAGCACTCTCTCAAGTGTTATCTAATACTTTCTACTTTGATCTACACAAAATGAGGGAAGGGATTTGCCATATTCAAACATGACAAAGGAAACTTAGGTCAATGATAAAGCTTTCAACTCTCCAAAAAGTAGAACAGCTTCTTGGAGAGAAGGGATTATCCAGTGTGAACACAAGCAGCAGGGAGACTCCTTCCAGGCTGACAGTGTCAGTCTCAAGACAAAACAATCCTGCTGGGTTCCCAGATTCCTGCTTTTGCCCTGCTTACTCCTACCTGGAGCGACCATGATTTCGTTTTTCTTGGAGCGGATCCGCAGGAAGGTGAGGTCGTTCTGGGGATCGATGTCCCGCACGGTACTCCTGGCCTTCATGATGAAGCTGTGCATGAGGCCAGCATACTGAATGGTGGTGCAGTTGTCTATGGTGCTCTTGATGGGAATACCTGCAGGAGAGGGACAGCAAGGCTCAATGACAAACCTCCAGAACCAACCCTGCAATCGACATCACCAGGTCCAACCTCAGTGGCCACCCCACCAGGGGTTAGGAGTGTTCTCTTTGAAGGCAAGAGGAAAACATGAAGAAAAACAAGATACAAAAAAGCTGAGATGTGGGACCACAGGTGTAGGTGAGAACTGTTTACCTCTAGTAGCACCAGTGCTTTATTTTTCATTTTTAGAGTTAGAAATAGAAATAAATTAAACAAAAATAATCATCTGTAGAGAGAAGAAATACCAATTTGCAGTTTTTTCTCCTGACTGGGGACACTCTTTTTACTTCAGAAAGGATCCCCAACACCAGTTAAATGATATTGAGCAACACCAGGCTAGGACCAGTGATTATGGAGGACATCAGCTGCTGCATAACACAGTTCCAAGGCTGAAGCTCCAGTATTTAGCCCTGAGAGGAGTGCAGTCCTGGGAGGTCCCTGGTTCACTGATAGCCAGCCTGGAGGGCAGACACACTGTTCAGCCAGAGCTTTACAGAGCTCCCTTACACTTCAGCTGCCCATTAGATGTGCTCTCCCACCAAAAGCCAGTCAAACCCCAGCTCCTGGATCAGAACACAGCAGCCAAGTACCAAATTCTGCAGGGCAGAACCAGGTGTGCGCTCCAGTAACTGCAGCTGCAAAACAGAGCACACAAACCACTCAACCATCATAGAACAGCAGCGAGTAGGAGCCAAGCTGCATTATCTGATCCTCACTATATTCACATATAGCTACTGTCATCTTTTCTAAGGATTACTTCTAGGAAATATTCAATTTTCTGTTCACAGTGTATTGAAAGTCCTCTGAAGAAGTTGGTCTGTTGAACTCTTCAGAGACTCAAAAAAGAGACTGATGAGTTCCATGAGACCACAAGCACGACAGTGCTAAAGAACTGGAGTCTGCCAGGCCAGCAGTGCTCTGGACAGGCCCAGCAGCAAGATTTCCATCTTGTGAGAGCCTCATGGCTACTGATGAACGTTTCCACAGACCCAGTTTCAAATACTGTCATAACTAAAATATTTCAGCGCTTTTGCAAATTATTTTATTTCCTAAAATAATAATGTGAGCTTCCAGAAATTTGAAACCAATTTTCTTTTGTAGCCTGACTACTGTCTGTCTCCTTGGGCTGCAGGAAAACCTCTCCCAAAGCCAGACTCTAAGCCAAGTGCAACTGGTACAAGCAGCAGCCCTCAAAGCGGGTGGTTGGAGTAAGTGATAGGTCAGAAAAGTGAGGCTGACACAGCACCTTCCGAATTAACCACGATGATTCCCTGCACTCCCTTCTGGCTCTGGATTCGCTTCAGTGTTTCCTCCACCTCAGCCTGCAAGACAAAGCACAAATCAATACAGGGTTACAGCTGCTCCTTGCCTCCCACCAAAGCTTTGGGAAAACGTGGCTGAACACAAAGCTGCACAGGGGTGATTAAAAAGCCACTGCCTACACTGGTTTATACAGCCAAGTGTCTGTACTTTGGTGCCACCTTTTCTGTATGACCTTTCCAGTTATTTTCCATCTGCCTGTCTTCTTCACTCATTTGTGATTCTCATCCTGGAACTCTCCTCTCTCCTCCTCCCAAGCCTCCTGCTGAAGGCTTGCAGCTGGAAGCTGAAGTCAGACTGCTATAATTTAGGTGTCAAACAAAAATAATCTTTGAAAATGGACATGGAATTTATGAAAAAAGTAAGAAAAAGATACATTGTGGGTGCAAGATGACCTTGCCTTTCAGCAAATGAACGCCAAAAGCAATTACAGATAAGAGAAGTGAGGGGAAAAACAATGAATGAACACTCTTTGTTTGTAAATCTGATTTGTGCTGGGATGGCTGCAAGGCTGTAACCACTGCCAATAATTTACAATTTATAAAAGGAAAAATGTAAACGCAGGCCAAGGCAATAGTCCTTTGCTCTATAAAAACCATCAAAGGAGGTTTCAGTACCTTCTGCACAACTTTCCTGCTACAAGACACCCATCTAAATACAATTATGGCGTCTGTAGTAGGGTGGGAAAACCTCACACCTGAGATGATTTCCACAGCTGGATGAGTATTTGGCATATTTTATTCCCATCAAAGGAAACAGAAACAAGTAGCATCTTTCAGATCCTGCAAAGCAGAGTCCCCCAGAAATGGTTTAGGAAGGGAGACTGGAATCACCCTAACCAGGACAGGTGAGACCTACAAGGGGCATTTCTGTGTTCCAAGGCTGTGTTCCCTGGATAACCCCGTCCACTTTCTCCCACAGCAAAAGGGCACAAAGATGTCACACGCCCTGTTCCCTGGGAAGAGACCTTGTCCAACAACAACACAGCCCAACCCAACACCAGCTCAGCCCCAGCACTGCCAGCACTTCCCTCAGGTGCTGTTGGTAACACAGCCTCTGGCCCATAAGAGATGGCAACCTCGAGCTGGTCTTTATGAGCAGAAGTTTTTCTGTGTGATCCAGCACAGAAAAATTCAAGTATTTTTAACAAATGTCTTGATTATTTCTGAATGCTGGACTGTTCTCAAATGGAAGACAAGGGAAATTAAACAAAGAACAAACGAAAGGGTATACAAATGCAGGGAAAACATAGTGGCAAAATGTTAAATCTATTAAGGAATTAAGATCTGATTTCCTGCCTTCTTACTAGCACTATTTAAGTCCTGATTAAATTCTTTCTTTCACAGGACCTTAACAAACCTTTTCAGATGCAAAGCAGTATCCATAAAGAAGAATACCAGTTCTTAATTTCTTCTTAACACCTTCAGCAGATCTAACTCACAGATGGCTGATCTGCTCTGACAGTTCCCTGCTGCTGATGTAGGAAGGTCCTGCTCCTCCTATTCCTACTCTGGGGCTTGACCAGCACCTCCACAAGCCAATGCAGCTCACCAGACCAACAAAAATACTACTGACAACAAAATTACATATTTAATTCGTGGAACACACAAACTCCATTTTAATGAAGTGGTGAATAACTACAAGCGATAGCACATGGAGGAGGAGAGATGCACTGTAGAAAAGGAGAATAAACACTCCCTCAACACCATTTTGCTGCTAAATACCCTTTGCTGTATGTACATCATCAGCCTTTATCTTCCTGTTTTCATCTGGAATAACTGAACTCCTAGGTTTGCCTAAAAAATACATCTTTTTAGATAATTTCAATTTTCCCTCTGCAACTTTGGTCAGCATTTATTTCTTTACAGATTTTGACATACATTTTATCCCCAGTTTCATCAACATGCAATAGGCAGCAACCCATCTGAGCACGGAGAAGCCTCCAGTACAATCACAGCAGAACGAATACAGCTCCAGTTATTAAACATCCAAAACCAGCCCCTTTTCCCTGACTGATTCCAGCTTTAGGGATGTGCCCTGGCAGCCGCAGGCAATGGAGGTTTCGCCGTGAGCGTTTCCCTGGCACAGGGCGGGCCGGGGGAAGGTTCGGCCTCTCCGCAGTGACTCGGGGCCGACACCTCCAGTGACGCCCCTTGGAGGCAGCGCCGGGCGCGCCCCGCACAAACACGAGCCTGACCCAGGGCCCCAGCACAACCCAACACGCACCGAACCGAACCGAACCGGGCCGGGCCGGGCCGGGCGCTGCCAGCCCCGCAGCCCCCGCGGCCCGCAGCGCCTTTCCCCGGGCCCCGCGGGGCAGCGCCTGTGCCTGAGGGGAGCCGGGGCCGCCCCACCCCGGCCGCAGGAGCCCCCGAGGGCCGGGGAGGCACAGAGACCCCCAAGGGAGGCCCCGGGGCCCCGCCCGGGCTCCGCATCGCGCTCACCCACCATGATGGAGCCGCCGCCGCCGCCCGTCTCGGCGCTGCCCCGGAAGCGCTCGGAGCGGGGCGGGACCGCTGCGGAGATGCCGCCCCGCGCCCTCGGAGCCTGCACGGGTTTAAACCCCCGGAGCTCCCGCCCCGAGCCCTCGGAGCCTGCACGGGTTCCCCGGAGCTCCCGCCCCGAGCCCTCGGAGCCTGCACGGGTTTAAACCCCCGGAGCTCCCGCCCCGCGCCCTCGGAGCCTGCACAGGGTTCCCGGAGCTCCCGCCCCGCGCCCTCGGAGCCTGCACAGGGTTCCCGGAGCTCCCGCCCCGCGCCCTCGGAGCCTGCACGGGTTTCCACCCCCGGAGCTCCCGAGGCCGCTCCCCGGAACGCGGAGGGTCCCTGGTCCCGCTTCAGGGGCATCAGCGTGAAACCCCATCCTTCCAGTACCTGAAAGGGACTTACAGCAAAGGTGGGACGTGTTTATTTACAAGAGCCTGGAATGACAGGACAAGGGGGGATTGGTTCACAGTGAAAGAGAGGAAATCTAGATTAGAGATGAGGAAGAAATCCTTCCCTGTGAGGACGCTGAGGTCCTGGCACAGGTGCCCGAGAACCTATGGCTTCCCCTGGATCCTTGGAAGTGTCCAGAGCCGGCTTGGACAGGGCTTGGAGCAGCCTGGGCTAGTGGGAGATGTCCCTGCCCAGGGCAGGGGGTGAAATGAGATGGCTTTTAAAGGTCACTTTCCACCCAAACCATTCTGTCATTCCATGAGAACAGGTGTGGGGAGTTCTATTTCCCCCCAAATGGCCACAACCCCTCAGCTGCTGCTGGAGCCCCCCGGGACAGAGGCAGAGCCACCCCAAGGCATGGTGCACCCTAAAGCCCTGGGACCTCCCTGCCACAGCTCCGGGATCCGTGTCCTCGGGGTAGAGGCGAGTGCTGCCCCTGCCAGTGAGAAAGGGAGAGCTCTTAGCTCCCCTGGAGGAAGGACTGGGGATGACCCACAGTCTGATGGCAAAACAAAATAAACACATCCAAGAGCTGCATCCCCATAGCCCCAGCTACACATACAACAGCAGCAGTTGGGACTTTCCCTCTGACCTCAGGCTCTGCTGGAAGGGAAAGAGAGACCCAGAATGGTCCAAATGGACTTTTAAAGGCCATTTCATGCCCCCCTCCACCAGAGGCAGGGACACCTACTATTCCAGGTTGCTCTAAGCCCCATCCAAGCTGGCCTTGGACACTTCCAGGGATCCAGGATCACTTCTCTGGGCAATTTGTGCCAGAGCCTCATGACCCTTACAGGGAAGAATTTCTTCCCAATATCCAAGCGAAACCTATCAGTTTGAATGCTCCTTTTGGGACCACAACCCCAGAATCAGCAAACAGATGCTGGGCTCACACTGAGCTCCCACAGCAGTCACAGAGAGCTGATACTGGGTGAGAGATAAAACATGTCATCATAAAGTGTTTTTATATTTTTTTTCCTTTCTTAAAGCCAAGATTTGACACAGCAGGTAAGCTCACTGGTCTCTCCCAATCTGTCACAGTCTGCATTCTCCTTAGAGAAAACAAGATTTCTCCAATGAGCCTTGTCATTTGTGCACTGCTGGGCTGACAGGCTGAGAATTGAAATTGGATCAGGCATTGCTAGAGATCAGGAAAAAAATCCTTCCTTAGGATCCAAGAGATATGGCTATTTCCTCTTCTAGTGGCTATTTACAACTCTGCAACCTAATTCAGTTAAATTCTTCTCTCTTACCAATCCAGCAGTGAGTTTTACAGCTTGGCTACAAGAAGTCACTTTGCCGTGGATTGATTTAATTTCTGGTCTGCACAATGGTAAGATTTGGGCAATAGTAAGCATATGGTGGATAATTGGGGCAATAGTAAGCTGTGCACAGCTGCCATCAGACACCAACCAAACGACAATCATTCCCATCCTGCCATGAACAAAGCCTTCAACACTCCGACCCAGGGCTGGTGCTGACATTAGCATCCACATCGTTAAAGGAAATAGAAAAAAAATGGTGCAACATTGGAGATGTACAAAATTGAGATGTACATTTATCATACATTGCATTGTGATTAATTTTTGCCTTTAAAAAATAAACTTCAGGTGTATGTGAAATGCCCTTGTAGCTGTACTCATATAAAGCTGCTCAAAGCAGTGTCAAATTTTGGGTTTACACAACTTACTAGGATGCTTTTAAGTGGTTCCATTCAAAGCTTGGAGGAAGCAACTCTACACCAACCTCCCTGCTGCAGAAAAAGGCAGTTGTTATTGCATGTATTTGCATGGCACAGAAAATCATCCTTGGGATTTGCTGCCCCTGACCAAATTGAGTTAACCGAGCCTGTGGGAACACCTGGGATAGTCAGCAGAGGGAAAACCCAGTGGGAATGTCTGCAGCAGGGAGTATCACCCTCAGGGGAGGATCACCACTTGAGGGACCATTTGATCAAACTGGACAGAATCAGGTCCCTGAGGCAGAATCAGAAAATTAACTAGGTTGGAAGAAACCTTTGAGATCATCAAGTCCAGTATTCTATGACCCTATGACCTGATGGGACATCCCTGTGAGCACTGAAGAAACTGGAACCTCACTGCAAATCCCATCTCAGTTATCTGGGAAAGCTTACGGCCATCAGGAGAGGCTCTCACGACAGGAAGAATCTAAATGCCATCTCCCCCCTTCAAGGAGGATGAGGGACACTACCAGGCTGATTGGTCTCACTGGGGCTTTCCCCCCCTCCTCTGTGGCATTCTACCAATCCTAACCACTTGCAGTGTCACTCCTCCTTGTTGGTATCCCTGCACCAGTGCTGCAATGAGATGTTGCAGCTGTGGCTCCTGCAGAACCTCCCTCCACCCCATCTCCCTCAGCCTTACAGCCCTCACTGGCTCCTCAGGGCAGCATCCACAAGCAGTAAAAATCCACAAGTTGTGTCCAAAATCTCCTCTTCAATATCCAATGCAATCACCAAGGGTGGACGAGGTCTTGGGAAAGAACTATTCCTGAAGAATCCCAGTGGAAGGACAAGTCCAGGCAGCCTGACTCTTGCCCCCAGGAGCACACAGATAATTCATTTCCACTTGGATATTCTATTACACGTAAGGAATAAGGACCAGACCACCAGCTCTTTAAGTAGCTTTATAAAAGTATTTGACTTACTGAGATACTGTTACAGTTACCTGAGTATTTGAAATTACAATGCAAGGAAATACCGACAATGAATTTCAGTACAGTATTTTACAATCCAGTGCTGCTGATCCCAGTTTCTACATTAGTTCACTAGAGCACATATACACAAACAGTGATTCTTGGAGAAAATTAAAAGACACCACAAAAAAGGGGGCTGGAGATACCAATATAACAGAGTTGAGATTACAAACCCAGTGCAGCATGTAGTAAAATAAAAGTTTCAAAAAAGAAAAAAAACCCTAACCCCCAAACAACTTTTTATTTTTCTCAAAATAATAAAAAAGGTTGTTTTTTTTAAACACAAGCAACTGGATTAAAAAACCCCAAACTTCCATACTAGATCAGATAAAGAATGTATTTACTGTGCATGTCATTAATAAATGAACAGTTCCTGAGCTACTTGTATAAGTAAGGCTTTATTAATTCTCAGTATTTCATTTTCTCATGTCATTCTCATGAGAAATGAGAAAAATGAGAAATGAAAAAAAATTTCTTTTAATACTTGGTAATTAGGATCAGCTGACAGTTGCATATGAATGTACATTTGTGACATACTAGGAATTTATGCAGCTCAGGTTGCTAAAACAGTTGAAGCAGTGGGAGACAAATTAATTAATCTCTGCTGAAAATCTCACTTGTAAATCCAATCCACAAAAACCTGTTATCTGGGATAGCAGCTGCTCTGGGCTCATCCCTGTATTGCTTCACCAGATCCCCAGAAAGAACTGAAATGTGCACCAGTGGCTTGTATAATTCCTTTTAACTTCTACACAACATGCTGTAAAAATTTAACAGATTTGTTAGTATTCACAAGTCAAATGCCTAAGGAATCAGAACTTGTGCCTTCAGAAATATTGTCAATGTAACACTGTAAAGTTTAAACTTTTTCTATTTGGCCAAATCCAATGTTTGATTGATTTTTTTTCCCCTCAATGAATTCTTTATTTGCAATATTTTTAAATCATATCTCGTGCTTGGAATATCCAGCCCCCTTTCTCCCATCCTGGTACAGCAGAAAAGACATATAAACATGCCATTTAAATTAAAGAAACAGTGGAATAAGTGGAATCCTGGACATCAAAAATATATACAAGCAGGTATGTTTTTCCTGAACTAAACATTTCAACCATAAAAATATTCAACAGCCAAACCCTATAGAACTAGGGCTAAGGCTATTTCAATTATAACTACTCTTTATTTTAAAAATATAGGGCTGACAGCCTTTTGGGTGATATTTATACATGAACAATAGTTCTAGGTTCCCTACACGAATTGTAAAGCAATATGCAGAACATAGACTATTTTTCATAGCTTAACCTTGCATTATCTTGCTTAATTTAATCTCTCTTGTAAATATGTTAGATAACTACATTTCACGGTAAGAATTAATATAAACAGAAAATATATATAAGGCCTTTTTTTTCTCATGAGCTGTATACTGTCATAGATCCAAATGTTGTGGAAGTTGGTAAGTCTCCTCCCAGTCACACCTGAAGGTGAATTCTCACCATCAATGAAACTTTAGATAAGGGGCATTTCTGTATCATCAGCACCTCTCCCCAGGCCTTCCTTCAATTAAGCCTGACAAGTCCCACCCTCCTGCCTTCCCCAAAGCATGTATCACTGAGCCCTGACACACCTGTGAAGTCAGTTAAACCTGTAGTGTCTTGGTTCTTCTTAGGCCTGAATCAGTTTTTCCCTCTTGCAGTTTAGATGGATAAGACAGCAGGAAAGAAATACTCTTTTCCAGACTGAATGTTCAGTTTTACACTTTCCCACTGTCCTGTTTCAGCTCTGTCATCTGAGAGAGTCTTTAATGCAGCTCCTCCC